CCGTGGATTTGCATAGGCGACTTCAACCTCCCACCGTCCGTCCTGGCCGACGCTGGGTTTTTGGATCGTGTGGGTGCCAATGTCCTCACCGCTGCCGACACGGGGTACACCTGCGTGGGCGGCATGGGCAAGGGCAGCACGCTGGACTATGTCGTGGCCAGTTATCCGGCGTTACCGTATATCGTGGGTTTGAGTGCAGTTTTGTCAGTGTCTTGGCGGCCGCATTGCGGGCTTCAACTTCGGCTGAGAAGTTCGGGGTCTCAACTGTTGTGTCGGCAGCTGGTGCTTGCAGCTCAACTCCCACAAGTACCTCGACCTACCACCCAGCCGCAAGAGGGTTCCAAGTCGTCCGCGGCCCGAGGGGAGCGCGTCCTGGCGCGACGGGCGGCCCAGGACAGGATGGCGACGGCGACGGATGAGATGTTCGGAGACCTCTGCTCTGCTGGAGGTGCGACGGCGTCTACATCAGCGACGGCTTCTTCCTCTGAGGGCGAACCTAGTGCGCAGGCCAATTCTCTTGCCTCCGACTGGCCTGAGTCGGACGGTGAGGGCGACTACGTGCCCCCAGGTTTCTTTGGACCCGAGGCTGGCAGCCCAGCGGCTGCCGTGCCTCCAGCCTCGCCCAGGCCCGAAGAGGCCGAGGTTGCGGCTCCGTCTCACGGCATATCGAGTGTGCTTACCGCACCCCACGAGTCTCGGGACCCACCCAGTTGTTCTGCCTCCCCCGAGGTCCCCTCGAGCACCCACGGCGGTGCCCTGCCTGCCTTTTTCCTCCCCTCTGACCTCTGGGACTCCTGCAGGGCACAAGTGGGCTACACGGACTCCGCTGGCGCCTCGGATGTTCTTCCTGCCATTGCCCACTCTGCTGCGTTTGCGGTTGGGGGACCACATATTCTACGTCTGGGAGCTCTTTATGGATCTTGGGTCAAAGCTTTGGAGCGTACCGTCTGTATTCACCATGGGACGAATCTAGCGGGGCCTTCCAGGGACTCAGGGCCTAAGTACACCGTCACCGAGGTTAAAGCTCCATCTAAAGTTCGGGAACAGCCTCTTCATGATCAGGTGTCGTCTTGGTGGGGCAGGGTCACCACAGTACTGACCAAGCTCAGCCTGCATCGTTCTCGTGGCAACGGACCCATGCAGCAGCAGCAGCCCGTGGAGGCGTGTGCGGCCTTGGCAGGGGACCAGCCAGACAGCGTACACGTGCCTCTCGCTTCGTTTGCCGACCCGACCGTGGCCTCGCCGACATGCCTGATGCCAGCCTGCACGAGATGGCTGTCACGGCCAAGCGCATCACAGGTCGAGCTCGTCGACGGGCTTTGGGGGCGTCTCTTAAGGAGTTTAGTGCTTGGATTTCGACCTCGGAGGCTCCTGGGATCCTCCACAAGGCTCTCAAAAAGACCCCCCCTGTCTCCGATGAGCTCGTAGTCGACGGCCAGGTTATGTATCATCCCCTGGACATCGTTGATAGCAAAGCCAGTACGTGGAAACAGCTCTGGGGCCCAAGGGAACCCGATCTACACGATGTCCAGGAAGTATTCCACGAAATTCGCGAAGTTGCTCGGCACGAACGCCTCGAGCCACTTTCCCACGACAGAGTCCGTCAAGCGCTACATTCCATGCGAGCTAAGACAGGACTCGGGGTTGACAAACTCACCCCGTTAGATATGGAGCGTTTGCCTTTTGCTGGAGTTTCGGAGCTCGCCGGGCTTTACAATGCCTGCGAGGAATGCCTCTCCTGGCCCTGGCAGATTCTCCTGGTCGTGGGGAAGCTTTTAGGGAAAAAATCGGGTTCTGACCGCGTTATTGGTCTCATGTCTATGTTTACCAGGACTTGGTCCCGTGCTCGGGAGGACGACGTCTGTTCTTGGTCTCAGGACTCCGAGCCTGCGTGGGACGCCGCAGCGGCGGGGAACTCGGCGCTCCGCGAGGCCTTTGTCCGCGCTTTGAAGGACGAGGCCATGCACAACTTGGGGATCGCTTTCGGGGAGGGCCTCGTAGACATCAAGGGGTTCTACGATGAGATGCAGTGGGGTCCTCTGGCTCGGGCCGCTCTCAGGCTTGGGTTCCCTCCTGAGGTTCTCTTCTTGGAACTACAGATGTGTGCTGCACCTCGTACGGTCTCTCAGTTGGGGTCCTACTCCGAGGCCTTCCAGGTCGTCCAGAGCATCATTCAGGGGCTCAGGTCTGGGACGCGTTTCGGGCGATGTATGATCTATTTCATCATGAGTAAGATTACAGTGGCTCATCCGTCTATGTCTGTTCGAGTTTGGGTTGACGATATTAATGAGCACGTCGCTGGCTCTCGGAAAGCAGTTCGAGAGAAGTTATACCAAGGCGTGCTAGACACGTGTCGGTCCCTTGTGGCGCACGGCTTGCCTGTGTCACCCAAGAGCGTCATCATGTGCACCAACGCCTCTGACAGCAAAAGTGTTGTCCAACGCCTTCGGCGTCGGGGTTTTCATCTGCAGCATGCTCTTCAAACCTCTCTCCTCGGGGCTGATCTTGGGGCTGGTCGCGTAGCACGGGCCTCTCGGACCAAACGGGTGGCTAAGGCGAAGGGCATGAATTTCAGGATTTGTAAGTTCGGTCGGGCTTCCAGGAAGTATCTCAGGACTGGATTACTTGAACGTGTCGGGGCGCAAGCTGCAGGCAGCTACGGGCACCAGATTGTGGGGGCTTTCGGTACCTTTCGGCAGCAGTGCAGACGTCGCCTCGGTCACACGCTTTCTTCGGCCACACGCGGTCGGTGTTTAACTACCGTTCTCGATCTGCGGGCCGACGGACATGATCCTGGGTGCAAACTTCCGAGGGAATGTTTTCAGTTATGGTTACGCACTTGGTTCCAGGATCCGTCGCTCCGGCCCGCAGTTCGCGCGGCTTGGCCGCGCGTAGTTGCTCAGTTTCGGCAGGTGGAGCCTCGGCAGGTTTCACAAGCAGCGCGGGGGCCCATCTCCGCCATGGTCGCATAGTTCGGATGGGATCCAGTATCACCGAGCGAGTGGCACACACCAGCTAGCGATGACGATCCTGGAGCGATTTGGACGTTCCCCGATGAGGTCGTTTCTCGGTCGGAGGATTTTAGTGGGTTGGTGTCCGAGTTCGAGAAAACGGTCCGTCTCAAGCTTTGGAAGTCAGCGGCGTCACATTTTTGCGGGGAAGGGGTCCAGCACGGGGTGGATAACCATTCTCTTCGGCAAGTTCTAGCAGCGCTCTCGTCTGTACCGCACGGCACTCAGCTATGTGAGACCATGTTCGCTATTGCAGTGGGAGGGACATGGCCAAAGGGAAGGGTTGCGGATGAGACGAATGCGCAGTGCGATGGCCTCTGTCCTCGGTGTTTGGAGAGCAAGGAGACACCTCTTCACCGAGGCTGGCTGTGCAGTTTAAACAAGGATCATGCAGTGTATTCTTCCTCTGCTCATCTTGTTCCGCGTGCTGTTGCTGAGCACGACGCGGCAGCATGTTTCTGGTCGCGGGGCCTCATCCCTGCGCGGTGGACCTCAGTGGAGCCTCCGCCAGACAGCGAGCAGTGGCACATGTACCATGCTCGGCATAACAATTTCCCAGCTGCTGGAGGGCTCGGCATTGGCACCCCAGAGGAGCCCATCATTGTCTTCGGGGACGGCAGCGGGGGTGAAGATAGTCGTGATTCTCGACTTCGGCGTGTCGGTGTCTCGGCTGTCTCTCTCAGCGACTACGGCGACCCCACGGTTGCAGCGTGTATCTTTGGAGGACTTCCTGGAGGCTCTCAGACTGTCCCTCGGGGGGAGCTCTGGGGCCTCTTACTGGCGATCAGGCACACCTTGGGGTCCCTGGTTTACGTGTCCGACAATAGCGGGGTCGTCAATGGGTGGTATCAGAAGAAGTATTCAGCCCCTTCGGGGCCCAATGCTAGCATTTGGAAGCTCATCGGCTTAGCTCTCGAAGGGCGTGATGTATCACAGGTTACCGTTTTACAGGTTCCCTCTCACCTCGAGGCTGAGCAGCATGTTGATTCCAAGTTGCCGATGTGGATGTTCATCGGGAACCAAGTCGCTGACACTCTTGCTGGAGTTGCTGCCAGTATGGTGCGTGTCAGCCAGCATACCAGGACAAGAATTGGGAAGATTGAGTTGGAAGCAGGGCTCGTCCGAAAAAGGTTGCTTCGATCCACTCTCGAGGCCATGGCCGCGTCCCCGTCCGCTCCTCGTGCCCGTGATCAGACCAAGGCACCCAGACCGCCAGCGCCCAGCGTTGTGTCCGTGTTCGAGTCCGAGCACACCTTGTCCGAGAGTGGCCGTGCGTGCCTTGTTTGTCGGAGCTCGGCTTCGGCAGCGGCAGCCACGGCGTGGCGCAGGAGTCAGTGCTATAACCTGCAGTCTGTCGACTCCGCCCTTTTCCAGGTGCCGAGGGGACAATCGGTACATATCGGGGGGGGCTGGGTTCACGAGACTCACAAAATGGTTTATCAAGCCAAGAATAATGTGTGGATTTGTAGTTCCTGTGGGTGTTTCGGCGTCGAGCAGCTTCGGGCCTCCTTGGCCCAGCCTTGCCTCGGCACCCTCACCCCCACTGGGGCGGCTTATCTCCGCAGAGTGGAGGACGGGCAATGTCCCAAGTACCCCTCCAAGCGTGCGAAAGGCTCCTGAGGAGTTCTTTCCTTTTCTTTCATACGCACCGCGTTAGAGCCATATCCATATCCATATCCTCCTCCTCCTCCTCCTCCTCCTCCTCCTCCTCCTCCTCCTCCTCCTCCTCCTCTCTCTTTCTCTCCTCGTTAGCCTTCTGATCCTCGTCACCGCTTCGGCCTCCCTCTCCTGCTCCTCCTCTTCCTCCGCCTCCGCACCGTCACCATTCTCAGCATCACCTCCATCATGGTACGTCGTCATGCTCCCCTTCCCTCGTTCTCCTCCCCCTTCTGCCCCGATCCTTCCCTCCCCCGATCCCTCCTCCCCGATCCTCTTCTTCCCCTCTTCGATACCCTACTTCTTCTGATCCTCCCTCAACCCGCCACGGAGGCCCGTCAACGGCCTCTGGGTCGTGGGCGGCTTCACAGGCCGCCGGGGCGCCTCTGCGCCAATCGCCAGCTGTCGTGTCATGCCTGCCTCTCGTTCTGGAGGGGGGGGGGGGAGGGAGGGGAGGGACGGGGAAGGGAGGGGGGGAGGAAGGGAGGGGAAGGGGAGGGGAGGGGAGGCACGGAAAGGGGAGGGGAGGGGGGAAGGGAGGGGGAAGGGAGGGAGAGTGTGAAAAGGGGAGGGAGGCGAGGGGAAGGGCGACAAGCCAAGTGCGCTCGCGCCACATCTGACCTCCCGCCCCTCGCGCGGAGTTTGCTCTGCGTCCGCCGACGGGTGTCACGGCGGTCCTAGAACCCCCGACGGGGCACCCGTGTGCGATGCGCAGTCGGACAACGGGAGCTGCGTGCACGGAGGAACCGTCAAACTTTTCAAAGGAGACCTCCTGCGAAGAGAAACGGGCGAGTCAGTTAAAACGGGCTGCGGAAAGACACTACATTCAGTCAACGTCAGAGCTGGCAGTGTCCAACTACGGCTGAACAAGGTCGCACAAATATTCGCTTTGTTCTGAGAATAGGGAGGGGGAGCGGCGGGGAGGGCATGGAGGGAAGTGGAGGGAGGGTTGAGAGGCAGTGGGGGAGAGAGCCAATCCCCCCCCACGTTCCGCGTACTTGGCGAGGAGAAGGAGGATCAGGACGGGCTGGGAGGAGGAAGGGGTTGGCAGGGAACGAGGATAATGATGAGGATCGGAAGGAGGACTAGGAGGAGAAGAGGAGGAGGAGGAGGAGGAGAAGAGGAGGAGGAGGAGGAGGAGAGGACGAGGAGGAGGAGGAGGAGGAGGAGGAGGGCGAGATACAAGCGCATGAGGAGGACGATGAGGAGGAGGAGGAGGAGGAGGAGGAGGAGGAGACGAGGGAGAAGGAGGATTGGGAAGAGCATGAGGAGGATGAGAAGGAGAAGGAGAAGGAGGAGGAGGAGGAGGAGGAGGGCAAGTGAAGGAGGACGTGGGATGATATGGCGAGCACGTAGGAGCAGGAGGATCATGCCACCAGATGTCTCCGGAGGTGAGGTGCCTGGGTGTCCACAGAGGTCCAACATAGGCAAACATTGGAAGAATACATCGTTCCTCGGCCCTCTTGAGGAGGAGGCGGGGGAAGCAGAGGAAGACGATGGATCTCTTGATCTTCACTGCGTGCTCCCAACGGCTGGCGTCACCGCGGGCTCTCATGTCCTTTGGCTTGTGACTCTGGTCGCTCTGCCCCCAGAAAGGGGGCTTTGCCCAGCAACTGGCCTTGAGCTCAATCGAGTCGAGGAGGTAAAGGAGTAGGAGGATTGGGAGGAGGAGGAGGAGGAGGAGAGAAGGGAGGAGGAGGCGGAGGAGGAGGAGGAAGAAAACCAGTGTAAACCCGAGAGTTACCACACCGATGTTGGAATAAACCCTCCCCCCAAGCTTCCTCTGCATGGCCCCTACAACGTTTCATTTCCACAGAGGGACCTGCCTCGTTGGAAGACAACTGTTTGAAGACTCTGAAGCATGCCAAAACATTATTCTCGGTATTCCAACGCCACGGATGAACCTGACTGTTGCGTCTTGACGATCCTGAATCGTGCCAGAAAGCCAGTCCTGGGACCTCAACTCCGCGAATCATCTTAACGGTTGCGCCCTCAAAATCGTGAACCCTTCCAAAACACCATGTCTGGTACGTCGATCCTGGGAATCCGGGAAACTCTTCCAGTGTTGTATTCAGAATGTGCGGGGCGCTAAGGCGAGAGCCACGCCTTGAATCTGTGAAATTCTAGCACATGGTTAAAACGAATGCGGGCGGCGCTAAGGCGAGAGCCGCAGTTTGAAAACGACCCGCCCTCAATCCGTGAAGCTCTTGCACTTTTTGAATGTGCGCGGCGCTAAGGCTAGAGCCACATGTTGAAAACCACCCGCCCTCAATCCGTGAAGCTCTTGCACATGTCTAGAACGAAGTGTCGTGGCGTTACGGCGAGAACCACATTTTGAAAACGACCCGCCTTCAATCCGTGAAACTATGGCAAATGTTGAAAACGAATGTGCGCGGCGCTAAGGCGAGAGCCACATTTTGAGAACGACCCGCCCTCAATCCGTGAAGCTCTTGCAAAGTGTGAAACGAATGTGGGCGGCGCTAAGGCGAAAGCCACAGGTTGGAAACGACCCGCCCTCAATCCCTGAAGCTCTTGCAGATTTGTGAAAACGAATGTGCGCGGCGCTGAGGCGAGAGCCACATGTTGGAAAAGACCCGCCCTCCGTTTGTGAGACTGTTGCCACATTTTAAGCTTCAGGGTCATAAATGGCGAGGAAGTCTCAGGCGAGACGCCCGGCCCGCCCTAAGAATTGGCCTCGGGGTGCGACAGGGAGAAGTCTTCTATAATGAAAAATAGAGGAGGAAGAGGAGGAGGAGGAGGAGGAGAAGGAAAGAGAGAAGGAGGATGAGGATGCGGATGAGGATGATGATGATGATGCTGATGCTGATGCTGATGTTGATGTTGATGCTAATGATGATGCTGCTGCTGATGATGATGCTGCTGATGATGATTATGAGGAGGAGGAGGAGGAAGAGGAGGAGGTGGTGGTCTGCCCACAGCCGCGGCGACGAGAACGGCGACGGCGACCGCAACGTCGACGGCGACGGTGACGAGGACGGCGACGGCGCTGGCAGCGGCGACGGCGACGTCGGCGACGACGGCGGCGACGACGACGAGACGACGACGACGAGGACGAGGACACTGACGGCGACGACGGCGACGGCAACGGCGACGGCGGCGACGGCGACGGCGACGGCGACGAGGACGACGACGGCGACGGCGGCGGCGACAGCTACGGCGACGGCGAGGGCGAGGGTGACGGCGACGAGGATGGACGACGGACGACGGACAGCGACGGACGACGGACAGCCAGGAGGAGGAAGAGGAGGAGGAGGAGGAGGAGGAGGAGGAAGAGGCTGGCTGAGCCCAGCCGCGGCGACGAGAACCCGTCGAGGAGCGCCCAACGACCTCGGAGACGACGGACAATGTCGACGGACGACGGACGACGGACGGCGGCGACGGCAACGACGACGATGAGGACGAGGACGGCGACGATGACGGCGACGGCGACAGCGTGGGCGACGACGACGGCGACGAGGACGGTGGCGGCGACGGCGACAGCGACGGCGACGGCGACGGCGACGATTGATGACGGCCGACGGACGCCTGACAGCGACGGACGAACAACAGCCAGGAGGGGGAGGATTGGGAGGATGAGAAGGAGACGGAGACGGAGGACGAGGTGGAGGAGGAGGAGGAGGAGGAGGAGGAGGAGAAGGAGGGGGAATGGGCCCCGTTAAAGTTCAGAAGCTGACCAAGGCCTGCGAGCCCAAGACTCGGGGAGAGCGGGGGGCTCGTGTGTTCAGGTCCTTGGCCGCGGGCCGCTTGCCTCCAGGCTAGAAAGCCTGGCCTGACGAGTCGGGGTGACTCGTCCGATTCATTTGAATCCAATTGTTTCGCTTCGCTTCGCTCGCCGTGCCTGACTCGAGGAGCTCGCGGTGGATACCCGAAGAAGAAGAGGAGGAGGAGAAGGAGGAGGAGGAGGAGGAGGTCTGCGCCGAGCCGCGGTGACGAGAACCCCCCGAGGAGCGCCCACAGACCTCCGAGGCGACGGACGACGGACGACGGACGGACGGCGGTCGACGGCGACGGCCACGGCCACGGCGACGATGAGAACGACGGCGACACTGACGACGCTGACGGCGACGACGGCGACGACGACGACGACGACGACGACGACGACGACGACGACGACGACGACGACGACGACGACGACGGCGGTGACGGCGGCGAGGACGGCATCGGCGAGCGCAACGGCGACGGCGCGGGCGACGACGAGGACGAGGATGGTGACGACGACGACGACGAGGATGAGGATGGCGACGTCGTCTTCGACGGCGACGGCGACGGCGACGACGACGACGAGGAGGGACAGCGCGGCGCTGTGCCCTCTCGCCGGGGCGCCCGTCCGCGCCGCCCCGCCCGGGGTGGCGCCCGCGGCGGGCGTCGCCGTCGCCTCGCCGCCGCTCCTCCTCGGGGGCGAGCACGCCGACGGCGGCGACCCGGTTCCCGTCCTCGTCCTATCGCCGGAGGCGACGTCAGGGGCGAGCAGCCCAGGGGAGAGCAATACGGTAGGTTCGTGCGGCGATGACGTGCCGGCGACGCCGGCGAAGGCGTTCAAGGTTGGATTCTGCGACGTGGAAGTACCGAGAGACGCGGTAACGCCATTGGACTCGAATGAATTCAATTTTGAACGGTCGGGGCCGCGATCGGTTCAAGGTTGGACGATCGACGCGGTGTCAAAAACCTTTGCGCGCGCCGACGCCGCACGAACCTACCGTACATGCATTCGGGTGCGCCGATGATCTATGTCTTCGAGAAGGCTCCCGGACGAATCCGTGTAGTGCCCGCCCCTGGGCTATTCGCCCCTGGCGCCACCGCCGATATGGTTCGCCGAACGCAAAAGAACCCCGAACGCTAACCCCAACAATGCGATGAAGACGTGACCTGACTTCGGTCCGCGCCGTCGCATTCGGGAGCATGCGCAATTCCGGGCGGTCTGTAGGTGATGCATTTGCAGAAATGGCCTCCTGTCCATGATGTTGCTGGCCCTCCTAACTCAGGTCCCCTCCCAGAGGTTTAGGGGTCCTCTCTTCTTGTCAATCGTATAGCCCTCCGAGGACGACGACGACGCCGCCGTCCTCTAGTTGACCCTCGGCCTCGCTTCGCCGCCCTGCGCCGCCCGCCCCGGCCGTCGCTGCTCCCCGAGCAGCAGTGCCCTTCCTCGCCGCCGTGCTCGTCCTCGTCCTCGTGGCCCTCGCCCTCGCCGCCGTCCTCGCCCTCGCCGCCGTCCTCGCCCTCGCCGCCGCCGCCCGCGCCCTCGCCGCCGCCCGCGCCCTCGCCACCGCCGCCCGCGCCCTCGCCGCCGCCGCCCCGAGCCAGGCGCCCACAGCGGGCGCGTGCTGGAGTTCCGGTGCTGCGACCCCAACCTGCCGCGCGCCAGGTGGCTCGAGGCGGCGCCGCCGCCGCCGGTCGGTCGCTCCGTCGAGGATGGATTCGGTCGAGGACCAGTCGATCGTGGATCGGTCGGTCGACGGTGGATCGAGGAGGGATGGAGCGATCGAGGATTGGATAACCTTCGATCGAGGATCTGCCGGTGTGGGCGCTCGCCGAGAGGGCCAGGCTTTCGGATGCCTCTGGCCCGCTGTTTCGGGGCTTGCGGGGCCCTCCCGAGGCCTCTGAGGGCCTGCGCCGTCGCGGCCGTCGATCGCCGGCCGTCGTCGGCGATCTCGTTCTCCTCCCACCGCCCCCCATTTCCTCCTCCCCCCTCTCCCTTTCCTCCTCCCCCTCTCACTCCTCCCCCTTTCCTCCCTGCCTTTCCTCCTCGTCCCCCCCCCTTTCCTCCTCCTCCTCCTCATCGTCCTCCTCCTCATCGTCCTCCTCCTAGCTTCCGAGATCATGGTGGCCATCGCTGCAGACTTGCACGCGTCGGTGGCCGAAGAGAAGGCCTCGATCATTGCGTCCTCGTGTTCCCTTGGCAAGAAGTTGCAATCTTTCTTCGGTCGATTTGTTGGAGGTCCTCCGGCACGCAGGGCTACGAACCTAGGCGTAGACGACACGGCAGGTCGCTCGCTGAGGAAGGGCACGAGGACGAAAGGTTCAAAAAACAGGAAAAACAGGAACGGTTTCGCACGCTTCGGGCCAGAGTTCGACGTCTTCAGAAGTGCAAGAGTGCTTTGGGGAAATGGTCTCGCAAGACGCAAGATAATGATTGCAGGACCCCTTGCAGGAGCGACCTTTTGCGTGGAAGTGCACGGCACCTCCGATTACGAGTTATTAGTATTCAGGTTTTCCTTAGGCAAGACGGTGAAGCCGTCGGCAGGTTCCCGTAGCCTCACCGCGCTGAGCATTTTGGAGCACGACCCGTGCTACTACGCTGCCATCGCCCCGGCCCTCAGGTATGCAAAGGAGGTGTGGCTGACTGCCACCCGACAGTATCCACTCTCTTCGGGATTCTCGGAGGTCGGGGTTGCTTGGGAGGCGGCCTTTTCGGGCGAGCCGCTTCCGTGGAAGAAGGTCACGGGCCCCCTGTCAGCGACCCGAGCCTCGCTGGAGCGCATAGATTGGAGCATGGACTCTTTCACCAGCCTTGTCGCGGATCAGAAGGTCGGGCTTTCTCTGACCTCCGCACCAGGCATTTTTGTCGGAAAAAAAGGGCCCTCGGCATCTGCAGCGACAGTCTGGGACTTTTTGGGGGCCCGGAGCTCGGGCGTGCTGTGACATCGTGCTGAAAGCACTGAGGTCCCGTAGGCGGGGGCCTTCCGAGAAAGGTTGCATGTGAGCATTCTTTTATTTTTTTGTTTTGCTTTCGGCGGAGCGCCCCTCCCCCCCCCTCCCCCCCCCCCCGTAGAGAAGTTCCGGGCTGATTTTGGCACCTGCTTCAATCGTGCTTCATTCGTTGGCGGAGCGTGCTGGACAGGTACCAGAGCTGTCGAATGTGGCTACCTCCTGGACTCGTCGCTGTGCAGCAAGTGCGGTGCTGCCCCGGACACCATGTTTCACCGTTCATGGTACTGCCAGGCCGTCACAGCGCAGCGTTCCGAGATTGTGGATCAGTCCCTGATCGATCAGGCCCGGGCCCTTGGCCGAGACGATCCCGATTGGTTGCTGCTCACCAAGGCCATAGTTATTCCCACACCCAGGTGACTACGTCCCCGTGCCCGTGGAGGAGGGAGGCATGCAGGTGGTTTGAGAAGGTGATCCCGACAACGTTTCCACAGATATCGATGGCCACGTCTTTTTCGACGGCTCCGGGCTGAAAAGCCCGATAGTGGAGATGTTTCGAGCTGGCTGGGGGGCTTCTGTATATAACGAGGCCGAGGAGCTCGAGTGCACCCTCTGTGGACCCGTTCCTCGCTTCCCCCCTCAGACTTCCCAGGCCGGTGAATTCTGCGGCCTCGGCGCCACCAATGACCTCCTGAGCGGGCCTTCGACGGGATACTCGGACTGCGCCAATGTGGTCCAGATTTTAAAGGCTCCTGTACCCCTTCAGGTTATATATAAGAGGCTCTATGCTGGTGCGATTTTACATATGTCTCAGACCAGGTAACGAGATGTACGTAAAGTGAAAACGCACGTGTCTGACACAGGCGACCTCTCGCCAGAGCAACTATTTATAAGACTGGGAACGACGCTGCCGAAACCGCGGCGAAGCGCGGTGCCTGGTCCCACCCGATGCCCTCTGCAGCTGAGCTAGTCGAGATCGACCGCCGTGTGCTCATCGTGGGCAAAGTGTGCGCTATGGCGGCTCGACTTTTTCCTCTTGAGCCCCGCGTGAGCCTCGACGGGGTGCCGAGATCACCAGGCGAGGGCTGCCGGCCAGCAGATGTGCCTGTGCAGTTGCATGAATGGTCATGGTGCCGCTCCTTTTGGAGATGCCAGCGCTGTCTGTAATTCCGCCGCTTGGATCATAAACCTCCGAGTGCTGGTGGTGTCCTGCCCGAGGCCGCCCTCGAGATCGGGCGAATGCAGCACCAATTGAACGTTTTTGATTGCAGCGGCGGCACACTGTTATATGCCTGTGAGAAGTGCAAGGCAGATTCCACTGGCGGTCCGTTCAGAAACCTTCGTAAGAACTGTTTTGGTCGGGCCTGCCAGCAATTTCGCGATCTCGACCTGGTCCGGCCTCCTCAAGAGAAGGCACCCCGAGTTTCCCCAGGTCAAGGTCGAGCCTTTTTTCTCTGTCGACGTGAGTTGGCAGGAGCATCGCTGAGGAACAAATCTTCTCTCCTCCTTCTCCTACTCTTCCTCCCCTCTTCCTTCCTCCTCCTCCTTTCCTCCCTCCCCCTCCCCCTCCCCCTCTTGCAGACATGCTCGCGGCGCTGTGCAGCAAAAGGGCAGGGCGGAGGGCTTCCTCCGCGCTCGGCCGCGGGAGGCCCTCGCCGGGCGGCCCGGGGGCCGTCGAGAGTGGCTGCGGCCGAGGAGCTGGTCCCCGGGGGGGACAGTCCGCCCGCACAGTCGGGAGCCTCGAGACGGGGGTCAGTGCAGACGGGGGTCAGCCAGAGCGCCGGATCTTGCAGGATCCTGCAGCGCCAGGGTCGCATTGACCCGGGTTTGGGTGCAGGATCCTGCAGGATCCTGCAGGATCCTTCGCATTGACCCGGGTTTGGGTGCAGGATCTTGCAGGATTTTGCAGGCTTGATTGGCCCGGGTCTGGATTGACCCGGGTCAGAAGATCCCCGACACAGCAGAAAGCCACGTGCTTCCACATGGCGCCGTGCGTTCTCAAAGGACGGCCGTCGAGAGTGGGTGAGGCTGAGGAGCTGGTCCCCGGGGGGACAGTCCGCCCGCACAGCAGAAAGCCACGTGCTTCCACATGGCGCCGTGCGTTCTCAAAGGACGGCCGTGAGTGGGTGAGGCTGAGGAGCTGGTCCCCGGGGGGACAGTCCGCCCGCACAGCAGGAAGCCACGTGCTTCCACATGGCGCCGTGCGTTCTCAAAGGACGGCCGTCGAGAGTGGCTGAGGCTGAGGAGCTGGTCCCCGGGGGGACAGTCCGCCCGCACAGCAGGAAGCCACGTGCTTCCACATGGCGCCGTGCGTTCTCAAAGGACGGCCGTCGAGAGTGGCTGAGGCTGAGGAGCTGGTCCCGGGGGGGACAGTCCGCCCGCACAGCAGAAAGCCACGTGCTTCCACATGGCGCCGTGCGACTCAAAGGACGGCCGTCGAGAGTGGCTGAGGCTGAGGAGCTGGTCCCCGGGGGGACAGTCCGCCCGCACAGCAGCCACGTGCTTCCACATGGCGCCGTGCGTTCTCAAAGGACGGCCGTCGAGAGTGGCTGAGGCTGAGGAGCTGGTCCCCGGGGGGACAGTCCGCCCGCACAGTAGAAAGCCACGTGCTTCCACACGGCGCCGTGCGTTCTCAAAGGACGGCCGTCGAGAGTGGCTGAGGCTGAGGAGCTGGTCCCGGGGAGACAGTCCGCCCGCACAGTAGAAAGCCACGTGCTTCCACATGGCGCCGTGCGTTCTCAAAGGACGGCCGTCGAGAGTGGCTGCGGCTGAGGAGCCGGTCCCCGGGGGGACAGTCCGCCCGCACAGTAGAAAGCCACGTGCTTCCACATGGCGCCGTGCGTTCTCAAAGGACGGCCGTCGAGAGTGGCTGAGGCTGATGAGCTGGTCCCGGGGAGACAGTCCGCCCGCACAGTAGAAAGCCACGTGCTTCCACATGGCGCCGTGCGTTCTCAAAGGACGGGCCTCTTGGCCTCCTGGATGGGGTCGGAGTAGACGGGGTCGGAGGATCGCGCCGCATCGCCGATGCATCAACGATGCGGCTCGATGCGGATACCGTGTTGCCCCACGCCGGCGTCGCTGATGCATCGCCGACGTCGGCGATGCATCGCCGGTGCATCGCAGACGCATCGCCGATGCGTCGCCGGTGCATCGCCGATGTATCGGCGATGCGGCGCGATTCTCCGACCCCGTCTACTTCGACCCCATCGAGGAGGCCTCTACAGATGAGAGCCGCATGCTTTGTGGTTGCCGGCGTGGGCGCTAGACAGTGAGTGTCTGTACTCTGGGTGTGTAAGCCACGTGGGGCACACAAAGTCGTGCCAGCAAGCTCTGCAGCGCACAGTCAACCCGCATAGTAAGGATAGGCATCCTTCCCAAGGGTAATCTCTTGCATCTTTGCCTCCTCGGTCCAGCCTTGGCCACTTTCGTTGGCCGCGTTCCGCTCGCAAAGCTTCGAACTGGGCGTCCAAGGCCCCTGCATCCTTATCACGCATCCTTGTGATACGGGCCGGCTGCAGGGTCGGGATTTCCGGGGACGCCGTAGTGGAACAATCAGGACGTCGCATGTTTGGATATTTCTGAAGGGTTTTCCGAAGGGCTTACCCGTCCTCCTCTTCCTCCTCCTCCTCCGTTTTCTCGTCGTCCTCCTCCTCCTCCTCTTCCTCCTCCTCCTCCTCTTCCTCCTCCTCCTCCTCCTCTCCCCTCCCTCGTGCCCCCCGTTCGGCGCGAGCATGCTTGTCGCGCCACGGCGCCTGGAGTGCGCTGACGCCTCCAGGCGCTGGCCTGCCTCAGCAAAAGCGGGCCACGCGCTGAGGGGGGTAGGGTTAAGTCGGGCCTGTCCCTCTACAGGAGGAACATTCAAAAATAGTTATAAAAAAGTATGGTGACGATTTTTTCGAGTATGTTTTGACTATTTTTTTCAAAACTTGCTCACTATGTTAATTTGTCGTCCAAAATCCGCCTGTAGGAGGACATGCCCGACCTAAGGGTACGGGGATGGGGGAAACCCATGCCAAGAAACACCTTGCTTGCCTCCAGTGTGCCCTGGGGTTTCTAAGGTTTTGACGGTTTTGCTATGTGGCCTTCCACCAAAATTCCATGGGCGTCCTGGGGTATCGGGACTGGGTTTCTTGTGGAAGGTTTCTTGTGGTCGAGCTCCTACTGTAGGGGGTTTGGGGACGGCTTTCTAGAAGCACCCGCTGCTTCTTAGACGGCGCGGGCCTCGTCTGTAGATGTAAAGCCGGTGCCGACTAAGAAGCAGCCTCCTTCTATAAGAAACCTTCCCCCCTCCCCCAGATCCTCTTGCCTACACAGCCGGCGTCCCGATTTTTTCGAGACACGGGTCCACGACCTCTCGACCATCTCCTCGAGACCGGCCGAGTCGTTTTTTGACGGTCCCGAGGCCCGGCGAGGGCCCCGAGGCCCCCCGCTGCGCGCCGCCAGTGATCGCTGCCCACCCGGACCAGCGTCCCTTTCGAGCACGCATGCAGCGCAGCCGCGCGTCGCAGCATCAGCCCCCGCCTCCCTCGTCCTCCTCTCTCCCGGGATCCCTCTCCAAGGGTGATGTGGCGCATTCGTCGGGGGCGGCCAAGAGGGGAGTGACTAGGGCCAGGGGGGGGGGGAAATCATTGCGGGGGCCATGATATCTCCCCAGATTTGATGGCGCCCCTTCTTATTTCATTACGTCCCCAGCCCCCCCCTGGGCCGCGCACATGCCGCCGGCCATGATTTGCGCTCCACCCTTTTTGGACGCCCCTGAATTCGCTCTGTTCCGGGAGGCTGTCTTGATCTGCCGTGTTTTTTTCGCGGAGTTTGTTTTTTGTGTTTGCTCGTGCTCATCCACGTCGTCCCGTTTCTCCGCGTGTTCAGGACACGTGCGTTGTAGTTCAGGAGGAGAAAAAACACACAGACACAATGAATCGGCGATTCCCCAGAAAATATGGGAAAATATGGGAAGTGGGGGGAAGACAGAAACCCAGAGAATATAGGAAAATATGGGGAATATTTTTATTTGTGTGTATTTATTTGTGTGTTTGTGGGCCCCTTTAGTAGTACGGTCAACCCGCATAGATGAGCAATTTTCCAGGGTTACCTTTGCACCCTTCCCCTTCGGCCCATCCTGGGGCGCCTTCGCTGGCCGCGCCCCGCTCGCAGGGTGTCGACATGGCCCTCCAAAGCCCTTGCGTCCTTGCCGTGCGTCCCTATTTCGGCGGCGAGCGAGGGGGGGAAGTGAGCAGGAGAAGGCCTTCTCTCAGAGCGTGCATTACCTACCCCGCTTTCGCTTCCAGACAAGACCAAGTCATACCACGCGCCTCCTCGTCAAGCGGCCTGACCAGTACAGGCCGTAGTTTGGCATCGCTTGGTATCTCTTGGAAGCGAGGGTGGTCAAAAGCGAGGTAGGTTTGTTTGCCTCCTATTCTCAGAAGGCAGCGGGACTTCTCAGAAGCCCTCGCGGCTTCTGAGAGGTTTGTGACGTCTTCGGGGAAGGCTCAGGACACTTCTGAGAAGGCTAGGGAGCTTCCGAGCCTTCGAAGAAGGCCCGCCCCTTCGCACGTCTCCTCCTGGGCGCGCCGCCTTGTACTATCCCGGTTGACTGTGGCACTGTCGTGGCGTCAACTCCGCCCCATTGCCACCCGAATTGCGGTGCGCGTCGCCTTGGACGGGGCGGGGCAGCCCCCCCCCCCCGCTGCTTCTCATTTGCCCCTCCACCTCCCCGTCCTCCTCCTCCTCCCCCTGCACTCCTTTTCCTTATAAGTAGTAGTTCCTCCCTGTCGCACCCCGAGGCCAGTTTCTAAGGCGGGCTGGGCGTTTCCCCTGAGACTTCTCACCATGTATGACTCTGAAGCTTATGACAACAGTTTCAAACATGGAGGGCGGGTCGTTTTCAATGTGTGGCTGTCGCCTTAGCGCCGCGCACATCCGTTTTTGAACTTGAGAAGGGTCTCGCTGATTGAGGGCGAATAGTTTTCAACATGTGGCTCTCGTCTTAGCGGCGCGCACATTTGTTTTGAACATTCGCAAGATCTTCACGGATTGAGGGCGGTTCTTTTTCGAAATGTGGTTCTCGCCATAGCGCCGCGCGCATTCGGTTTTAATTGTTGCAAGAGCTTCACGGATTGAGGGCGGTTCTTTTTCAACATGTCGTTCTCGCCATAGCGCCGCGCGCATTCGGTTCTAAGTTTTGCAAGGGTTTCATGGATGCCCATGCTCAGCGTATCCGAAATGGCGTTTTGGAAGGATGCGGGATCATGAGGGTGCAACAGTCAGTTGATTCGCGGTGTTGAAGTCCCAGGGTCGTCAAGACGCAACAGTCAGGTTGATCCGTGGCGTTGGAATCCTGAGAACGCTGTTTTGGAATGCTTCAGGGTTCAGGATCTTCAAACGGTTGTCTTCCAACGAGGCAATTCCCTCAGTGGCAATGAACCCTTGTAGTGGCCTCTTGGAGGGACGGTTTATTCCAACATCGTTGATGACTGGGGTTACACTGGTCCTTCTCCTCCTCCTCATCCTCCTCCGCGCCCTCCCCTTTCCTCCCCTCTCATACCCTTCTGGCTGAAGGATCTTCAGGGCCTGAGGGGCATCAGGCCTCAGGCATCAATCGAGTGCCTCCCTCTCTGCCTCCCCAACCCCCTCTATCTCATCGCCTTTTCCCATTCACCTTCTCCCTCCCCGTTCCATGACTCCTCCCTCCTCGTCCATGTCCTCATCCGCCTCCTTCTCCTCCACCCACCAATCCCTTCCCCCCTCCCCCATCTCCCTCGTCCCCTCCCCTTCGGGCCCCTTCTTCCCTCATTCTCCTTCTCCATGGATTGGAAGGCCTCCTGCCTACCTCTGCCCATGCCTTCTCACCTGTCCTTGCCTCCCCCTTCTACCCCTCCTCGCCCTCCCCCCCTCCCTCCTCCACCATGCAAGTTCCATCTTCTTGCTCCGCACCCTCCCCCATCACCTCCTCCAGACCCCCAACGGCCCTTCCCCTTCCCCCATCCCCCCCCCCTTCTCCTTCGCCATCTTTGCCCCCTTCCCTTCCCTGCCCCATCCCCCCCCCCCTTCCCCTTCGCCATCTTTGCCCCCTCCTCCCATCCCCTTCGCTTCCCCCTATCCCTGCCTCTTTGCCCCCAGCCCTGCGCCGCGGCCTTATCAGGCTCTGAAGGCGCACGCCGAGTTCGGGCTGAGGCGCGCCGCGGCAGGAGGAGGAGGAGGAGCAGGAGGAGGAGGAGGAGAAGGAGCAGGAGGAGGAGCAGGAGCAGGAGGAGGAGCAGGAGGAGGAGGAGGAGACAAGAGGAGGAGGGTGTCGAGTACACGCCTGGACCTAGCAGGGCCGTAAACTTGCACACAGGCCATGCCGGGGAGGCGCAAGCCAGGAAGGCGCACCCCCTACCCTTAAGTCGGGCATGTCCCTCTACAAGAGGAATATTCAAAAATAGTGAAAATATAGTCTGGGGACGTTTTTTTGGGGGGGTTAAATATGTTTGGACAATTTTCGAATACCTTTTGAGTCTTCTTCATTTGTCGTTCAAAATCCGCCTGTAGGGGGACATGCCCGACCTAACCCTGCCCCAGACATGCGCCTTCCGGATATTTACAGGACGGCGGCGTCCCCAGAAGTCCCGACCCCCTTCCCCAGGAGTGGTTTGTCGTCCTGCATCGTTTTTGTTCACGGCCCCGAGGCCGGGCAAGGGCCTCCTGGGGCCGAAGATGGCGAAAAGCCTCATGGCCTGATGTTTTTTTTGTGAACGGACGCGATCCTGTCTGGGACTGCTCCTTCCCCTGGGCGACCTCGTGCGCCCCGCCGCGGCGCCCCGGCTCGGGATCGTTTAACCGATCCCCATCCCCGTCCCCATCCCATTCGAGACCCCCACCACATTAGTCACCCCCCCAGTCGGGGACACGCCCCTCGAAACCCGCAGGGGACGGCCTGTGTCCCCATCTAGGGGGGTAGATCGGCCAGTGGGGCCCAGGCCACGCCGCTGGGGATGGGGATCGGTTAAAAGATACTCAGAGGGGGAGAGGATGGGTGAGAGGGCGGGGAGAGGGATGGGAGGACTTTGGCTTGCGCTGCTGGTTGGGTGCAGGACCTGTCAGGAAGAGCGGCGCAAGGCTGGCAGAAGATGAGGCACCCTGAACCGAGGGCACAGGCCGGGAAACGCGAGGGAGGGAGCAGGGGGGAGAGGGCGGGAACACGCAGGGAGGGCCCTGGCCACGCCGCCGGGGATGGGGATCGGTTCACCGACACGCCACCCGCGAGGAGCCACGAGGCCATGCTGCCCCTGGCGGAGGCCCTGGGCCGCCACGGGCCGCTCCGGAGCCCGCTGCTCGGGGAGGCGCCCCTCGCCGCCGCCGCCCGCGCCGCCGCCGCCGCCGCCGCCGCCGCCGCCGCCGCCGCCGCCGCCGTCGTCGTCGTCGTCGTCGTCGTCGTCGTCGTCGTCGTCGTCGTCGGCGTCGGCGTCGGCGTCGGCGTCGTCGTCCTCGTCGTCGTCGTCGTCGTCGTTCTCGTCCTCGTCCTCGTCCTCGTCCTCGTCCTCGTCGTCCTGGTCCTCGTCCTCGTCCTCGTTCTCTTCGTTGTCCTCGTCCTCGTCCACGCCCTGCGTCGCCTCGACGTTCGCTTTGAGTCGGGCCTGTCACTCTACAGGGGGGATATCCAAGAGTAGTCCAAAGAATAGTCTGGGGACCGTCTCGAGTCGGGCCCGTCCCTCTACAGGAGGATTGATTGTTCAAAGACAGCCCAAAATAGTCAGGGGGCGATTGTTGACAATGCTTTTTCTTTCCTTTTTTGCATTTTCGGGGTATGTTTGATTTTTCGACCAAGACCCGCCTGTAGGGGGGCACGCCCGACCTGACCCTGTCGCCTCGACGTTCGCTCTTGGAGCCGTCTGGGCGCCGGAGGTGGCCCGGCACAGGTTCCAGCCAGCAGGAGGCGGGGGCGAAGAGGTTCGAGGTGCTGGCCTCGAGAAGGTCGGTTGCGTTTTCCGGCCTCGGGGCACACACAGTTAAGTCGGACCTGTCCCTCTACAGGAGGAGTATCAAAAAATAGTCAAACATAGTCTGGGGACGATTTATGGATTATTTTTGAATATTTTAGGAGTGTTTGTTTCTCGTCCAGAGTCCACCTGTAGGGTGACATGCCCGACCCAAGGGTGTAGTTATCGAGCCCCGGGACCGTCCAACGCAAATTCAGGGTGACAAATTGCAGCGGAGGGAGTCCAGGAGGGGTCCAAGCTGCGATTTTGAGCGGAATTGCCCCTATCCCTCCTTCTGGACAGCTGTTCTCGAGGTCGATCCAGCTCAGACCCCCAGCCGCCTCCAAGTTCGTTCCCCCCTGTGTGCTCGTCGTCGTCTCCAGGTCCGCGCCATCTTTTGCTCGGGCTCTTTGTGTCCGCCTTTTGCTCACCCCCAGTTTAGCTTGACCCTGGCCGTCCTCGTTGGCCACCCTGTGGTGTGGCGGGCTTGGTGCCGTGGGCTCTTGGCCTTCGCTCATTTGTTTGTCTTGTGATGTCGTTCGCCGTCGCTGCCCTTTGTTCTGAATGCCGCCCTTGCTCATCGGACTGTTCTGCGCACGACTTGCATGCGCAGTCTCCCGAAGTTGAGGCCCCCTGGCACTTCCTGTATTTGCGGGTTCCTGCTCCGTGGGCCTCCTCTCGATCGTGAAGGCCTGACGGCCGGTGCCGCCGACCCTGACAGCCATCGACGACGACCGGGAGGGGGAGGAGGAGGAGGAGGAGGAGGAGGAGGAGGAGGAGGAGGAGGAGGAGGAGGAGGCGGAGGAAGAGGAGGAGGAGGAGGAGGAGGCGGAGAGGAGGAGGAGGCGGAGATAAGGAGGCGGAGATAAGGAGGAGGAGGAGGAGGAGGAGGAGGAGGAGGAGGAGGATGCGGAGATAAGGAGGAGGAGGAGGTGGAGACAAGGAGGAGGAGGACGAGGAGGCGGAGATAAGGAGGAGGCGGAGAGAAGGAGGAGGAGGCGGAGGCGGAGGCGGAGATGGGGAGGAGGAGGCGGGTCCCTGGCCCGTGGGCCGCCCCTCTGCCCTTGTCGCCTGCCCGTGAACGCCTGTGTTCCGGCATCCCTCTCCCCCACTCGTCGCGGCCTTTCTCCCTCCTGCTGCGCTGAAGTCGGGCCTGTCCCTCTACAGGAGGAAAGTTCAAAAGTAATATAAAAAATAGTCAGGGGACGATTTTGGGAGCATTTTTCTACCATTTTGGCGCATGTTTTGGCTATTTTTTACTTCCGTCCAAGATCCCCCTGTAGGAGGACAGGCCCGACTTAATGTTGTGCCCAATGAGGCACTGGTGCGTCCCCAGCTGTGGCGACCGCGCCTTGGAGCCAAGCCGCTGCCGACAAAAAGTGCTCGTCGTCGTGGTCGCCGTCGCCGCCGGAGTCGTCGTCTTCGTCGTCGTCGTCCTCCGCCTCCTCCGCATCTTGCAGGCCGGTGGGCGGCCACCCGCCGCCTGAAGTACACCTTAGGCGATGCTTAAGAAAACCCAAGTTTTCGGCCAGAGTCTCGATTATTCTTAACGTTTCAATGTAAATCCCAAGATTTTATTAGAAATGTTGGGTTTTTCTTCAAGTTCTGAGACTATGAATTTCTTAACCCATGATTTCTAAAGCATTTCGCAGGGTGTACCCCCCGCACCACCTGCAGGATTCTAGAGGCAGCTCGCGCCCAAGCACGGACCGCGCGTCCGCCCGTCCGTTGCTTCGCTCGACGCCCTCGTCGTCGCCGTCGTCGTCGCCGCCGTCTTCTTCGCCTGCTTCCGCCGTCGTCGTCGTAGCCGCCGCGGTCGCCGCCGCCGCCGCGGCCGCCGCCACCGCCGTCGTCGTTGTCGTCGTCGTCGGCGTCCTCGTCCTCGTCCTTGTCCTCGTCCTCGTCCTCGTCCTCGTCCTCGTCCTCGTCCTAGTCCTCGTCCCAGTCCTCGTCCTCGTCGTTATCCTCGTCCTCGTCCACGCCGCCGCCGCAATCGTCGCCGTCGTCGTCGTTGCCCGCCGCCGCCGCGCCCAGAGGCCACAGAGCCGAGCGCGCTTGCAGCGCCGACGGTGACCGTCACGCAGGCGGTCCCGACGGTGACCGTCACGCAGGCTGCTGGGCTCCCCGAGGAGCCCCCCCCGCGCGCAAGCGGCGGCGGCCGGCGGCGCCGTCGGCGTCGCCGTGCCTCTCCCCTGCCCGACGATGACGACGACGCCGCCGACGACGACGGCGGCGGCGGCGGCGCCTCCAAATTTCCGACGATGCTTTTCCCCTGACCTTCCCTTGAGATGGGCCCTCGTTTTGACTCGCCCTCTTCCTGATCCTCCTCCTGTTTCGCTTCGTCGCCCCATAGGAAACCACCGAAGGCCCCATAGGGAACTCCGCCCTGCTACCCCTCCTCCAGGTCTCCGACGATTTCTTTGGGTTGTTCAATTCTAGCGTGTTGTTTCTTCATCTCGGATTTCGGTTCTTTCGGGCCCCTGGACCAATGAAAAACACACACCTGCGGCGACACTGTCCAGGGATGGGGCCCTGAGCGCTTGGGCCGTGGGTTGATAGTGGACCTGGCTTTCCCTCCTCGTGGCCTCTTCCCCCTCTCCACCTTCACCGCCCCTTCACCCCTCCCTCTGCCCCAGTCGTCCTCCTCGCCGTTCTCGTCGTCTCCTCTTATCGCCTGGTCTCCCGTGGGGAGGGGGAGGAGAAGGAGGGGGTCGAAGGAGAAGGGCGACGACGACGTGTAGGTTTAAGTCGGGCCTGTCCCTCTACAGGAGGACTGTTCAAACATAGTACACATAATTTTGGAACGGTTTTGTATGATTATTATTAAGTTATTTCACAACCATCCCGTGGTGTTGGGCCTTCGTTTTGAAGAGACAGCCCCCCGCGTCACTCCTCTCCTCCTGCCCCTCCTCCCTCCTTCTTACGACTCATCATCGTCACCCGTTTCAGCACACCCCTCACACGTTTCGTTGCCCAATATGGGGCTCTACCGAAGGCCCCAATCGGACCGCCCGCATGCGTCACGCACCACCCAGTAAACCCATGCCCCCGATAATGAAGCATACCCCCTGTCCCCCTCTTATTTTTTCACCCGTGTCAATCGGATTTTTTTGTGGAGAGGAGCGCGGCATCCGAATATGATAATCCCTTGGGGGGAGTTGCGAACCGAAGTTGCTATCATCTCATGTTGACCTAGCAACAGCATCAAACACGCTGAGCATGACCAGTGGTGGTCTCACCATATCAGCTTCCGCAATCACGAGCGCGTGGCATGGCCAGGGGGTTCTCACCATTTCAAGTTCCCCAAGTCACGAACGCGCGGCGGCAGGGCCATGGGATTCTCACTTTCTCAGCCGTTCCCGATTGGATTTTGAAGTTACATGTTTTTCGAGCAGGCAAAGCATCGGATATACTTTTTAGCGCATGACTCACACGGTTCGTGGCCCCTCCTCCTCCTCCTCCTCCTCCTCCTCCTCCTCCTCCTCCTCCTCCTCCTCCTCCCCCTCCATCTCCTCTTCCCCCCCCCGCAACTGCCCAGGCCCGAGCTTCCCCGAGTCTTCGAGGCTCCATGCTTTCGAGTCTTTTCGGGGCACCGAGCTGCACCTCCCCCAGGGGCAACGATAGGGGGGGATAAGGCATAAGGGGACGCATCGACCCCCAACCGCCCATTGATCGCAGAGAGTGGCTCGATAGCCCGAACCTGCTCAGGAACGTGCGGATTTACGATCGGGCGCCCATCGCGGATACATCGGCGATGTATCGCCGATTCCAGGTCGATGTTTCCCCCCAGTGCGTATCCCGTCCACATCGTTGCCCCCGAGTCCGTCGCGAGCCTCAGCCATGTCCCAAGCCGCCGAGCGCGCCCCGGCGGCGACCCAGCAGGTCGCGGCCCCGCAGGGGACGTGACCCGGAGCGCGAGCCCGAGCTCGAACGAAATTTTCGAGCGCATGGTCATGCAGAACGAGAAGATCCTCGACGAGCTGCCCTTCGTCGCGGACAAGAGCGCCATTGCCGAGATGCGCCATTGCCAATCGAGCGCGCAAGGCGCTGGCGCAGCACGAATGGCGGCCTGCTTTTTCATGGCGGACAGCGCTTGGTGGTCGGTGGGCGCCGAGCAAGCCGTCCACGAGATGGTCTACAACGGCGGTTCTCTCAAGAGCATCGAGAGCTGGCACATCTTTAATGAGGAAGACAAGCGGCGCGTCGAACTGGCCGTGGCTCTGTTCGGCAAGACCCACTGCGAGAAAGACGCCCGCCTCTGCGACATTATTTTTTCGAGACTCGCGGAGGGCCGCCCGAGGACCTCTTCCGGCCCGCGCCGAGCTTCAAGTCGAAGGTGCTCGAGACTGCCAAGAAGAAGGACATCGAGCTCGGCGCCGAGGGCGCCCGGCGCCTGAGCTTCGGCCCCTGCGCCGAGCGCGTCGGCAAAGCCCTCCCCGATATCCCGTCCGAACTCCTCAACCTCCACGACCTCGTGCTGCCGATCAACGAGAGCTTCGAGCTCGTCGAGAAGATGCCCGGGGAGTTTTCCTCCGGCGTGCCAAGCGACCGGCGCTTCGAGATGACCCCCGAACAGGCCAAGCAAGTCGTCTACTGGTGCCGCGACAACGGCGCGGCGCAGGCCGTCCGCGTGCGTCGCGCACCACCCAGCACAGCGTTTCGCGGCCCCGTAGGGAGCTCCACCGAAGGCCCCAACGTGACCGCCCGCGTGCGTCACGCACCACCCAGCGCAGCGCTTCGCGGCCCCATAGGGAGCTCCGCCGAAGGTCCCCGGTGGGACCGCCCGCGTGCGTCACGCGCCACCCAGTGCAGCGCTTCGCGCCCCCACGGGGGCTCCACCGAAGGCCCCACTGGGGCCGCCCGCGTGCGTCACGCACCACCCAATGCAGCGCTTCGCGGCCCCAGAAGAAGCTCCGCCGAAGGTCCAAGTGGGACCGCCTGCATGCGTCACGCACCACCCAGTGCAGCGCTTCGTGGCCCCATGAGGAGCTCCACCGAAGGTCCCAGTGTGACCGCTCACATGCGTCACGCACCACCCAGCACAGCGTTTCGTGGCCCCGCGAGGAGCTCCACCGACAGCCCCAGCGCCACCGCCCACATGCGTCACCCACCACGGTGCAACACGTTTCGTGGCCCCACAGGGGGTTCCACCGAAGGTCCCAAGGTGGGGCCGCCCGCGTGCGTCACGCACCACGCAGTGCAGCGCTTCGTCGCCCATAGGGAGCTCCGCAGACGGCCCCTGTGGCACCGCTCGCACGCGTCGCGCGCCTCCAAGTACCGCGCTTCATGGCCCCATGGGGAGCTCCACCGACGGCCCCAGTGGGACCGCCCGCATGCCTCCCGCCCGCCCAGCGCAGCGCTTCGTGCCCCCATAGGGAGCCCCACCGAAGGTCCCACTGAGACCGACTGCGTGCCTCCCGCGCACAGTGCAGCACTTCGTGGCCCCATGGGGGGGCCCGCCGAAGGTCCCCCAGTGGGACCGTCCGCATGCGTCGCCCCCACCCAGTACAGCGCTCCGTGGCCCCGTGGGGAGCCCCACCGAAGGTCTCACTGTGACCGCCCGCGTGCGTCCCGCGCACCTAGTGCAGCGTTTCGTGGCCCCGTAGGGAGCCCCACCGATTCGCGGTCCCATAGAGAGCTCCACCGAAGGCCCCAGTGGCAAAGTCCACGTGCGTTTCCCCCGCCCAGCACAACGTTTTCCGGTCCATAGGGAGCTCCACGGAAGATTCCAGTGGCAACTTCCGTAGGCGTTCCCCCCACCCAGCACAACGTTTCGCGGCCCATAGGGGGCCCCACCGGGGCGCCAATGGGTGCGGGCTTGATAAAATGCGACGGCCAACGCGTGCGCGGTGCAACCATGACTTCCAATTGGCGCGGCCGCTGGGCCGTACCCTCGGCGGCAGGCGTGCCGAATGGCTTGAACATGTCGTTGAACAATGCACGGGCGTATTGCGCCTATCTAGACGAAACCAACAAGCACATCTACAATGAGTCCGCGACAGTGGCCACTCAACTGAAAACGACGCAGGACGAGCTGAAGAAGACGCAGGACCAGTTGGCCGCGCTGCACGAGGTCGTCGAGCAGGGTCTGTCGGGGGCTAATCGTGCGCAAGTCCGTGCTGCAGTGAGCGTCCGCTCGTCGCGCCCTGTGTTTCAAAACCTAGGGCAAATACATGGCGTTCGACTCCTCTTCTTTTTCGCTCCCGTTGTGTTCTCATCGCTGCTCCCGCTCCTGTGCTACGTTCCCTATTCGGGTGCGCATTGTCTCACAGTTTTCGTGGCGCGCAAGCCAACGGTGGAACACCTGGCCTTCGCTCCCAAGTGTGCGCTTGCAGCGTTCGCCCCTTCGCATTGCAGTCCAGGGTCGTTCGACGAGACAGCAAGCAACAATCAATTTAAGACTGTTGGCTGTTATCTGTTCGCGGGCCACTCAACACGCATATCCCAAACCCTCGATACCCGTCCTCTTCGTCTTCAATCGTACCCTCTGAGGTGTATACCATCTATCTATTTTTCTTACCCGCAATTTGCATTTCGTGCAGCCCCGATGGCAGGGGAAGTCCCTAGCGAGAGCGCGATTCCCCAGTACATCGCGAGGAAGTATCAGACGGGATCCGCTGCTGTTATACATCGGGGACCAACCACACGGCTTGAACAGGACAACTTTCCCTGATGAAGAACAGGGTGCGAGCTCCGGGAATAACAGTTATATTAAACTATACATGTTACCGGAGGGGGGATTAACATTGTTAGTGGCGCGGTAGTGCGAGCTCAACAACAACAATCAATTTAAGACTGTTGGCTGTTATCTGCTCGCGGGCCACTCAACACGCATATCCCAAACCCTCGATATCCGTCCTCTTCGTCTTCGATCGAATCCCGTTAGGGGTATATCTATCCTTCTCACCCGCAACTTGTATTTCGTGCAGTCCCGAAGGCAAGGGACGACAGAACGGATGGAAGGAAGGGACAAAGGGGAGGGAGGGTGGAGCACGAGAGGGAGTGGCGCAGGAGGGGGGTTGGGAACAGAAGTACGTGGCATGACCAGACAGTTAGATCGGGCGGGTAGACCCCAACGGGCGGATCGGGAAGGCGGGCCGAGACGGCCAGGTCGAGCAGGCGGGTTCGCGAGGAAGTTTTGAGCGACAGCGCGATTCATTCCCAAATATGTCGTGAGGAAATCCGCAGCGATAGCGTGATTCTTGAGTGTCGATGGCGCGGCGCCTGAGTAAATTGCGAGGAAGTCCCTCGCGACCGCGCGATTCCTGTATATATTGTGGGGGCGTCCCGCGCGAGAGCGCGATTTGGGAATACATTGTGAGGAGGTATCAGGCGGGAGCCGTTGTTGCTGTTGTTGTTGTTGTTGTTGGTGGTGGTGGTGGTGGTGGTGGTGGTGGTGGTGGTGTTGTAACTCGGGGGCCATGGGCGCAGTTTGAGGCTCAAGACTTCCCATGCTCAAACAGGGTGCGAGCTCTGGGAGGGGCACTTCAAGTGAAAAGTACACTGTGCACCGGGCAGGGGGGATCAACAATTTTTCCCCGCATCCAAAGTGGGGTTCTTGTTTTCTCTGCACACCCCGCGCAGGAACACTCACCCCCTCCCCTCTCCTCTTCTGCCTTCGCACACTCACTCACTCACTCATCATCATCACCACTCACTCACACCCACACTTACTCACATTCTCTCATCATCAACATCAGCATCATCACTCGCGCTCTCTCACACGCTCAGTCACTCACGTACTCATCATCATCATCATCATGATCATCATCATCACCCGCACTCTGTCACACGCTCACTCATTCACATACTCACCTGGAGGAAGTCTCAGGCGGGAGTTCGTTTGTGAGTGAATTGTGAGGAAGTCTCAGGCGGGAGCCCCCTCCCTCTGGGGCCCGCACTTCATGTTCGAATCCGAGCGGGTCATCCGCAACGTGCAACTGTCGTCACTTTTGGGCTCTTGAGACCTGAAGATGGAGGAAGTCTCGAGCGGGAGCTTCGTCTGTGAGTGAATTGTGAGGAAGTCTCAGGCGGGAGCCCCCTTCCCTATGGAGCTCGCACTTCATGTTTGAATCCGAGCGGGTCATCCGCAACGTGCAACTGTCGTCACTTTTGGGCTCTTGAGACCTGAAGATGGAGGAAGTATCAGGCGGGAGCCTCGTCTGTGAGTGAATTGTGAGGAAGTCTCAGGCGGGAGCCCCCTCCCTCTAGGGCCCGCGCTTCATGTTCGAATCCGAGCGGGTCATCCGCAACGTGCAACTGTCGTCACTGTTGGGGTCTTGGGACTTGAATATGGAGGAAGTCTCGAGCGGGAGCCCCGTGTGTGAGTGAATTGTGAGGAAGTCTCAAGCGGGAGCCCCCTCCGTATGGGGCCCGCACTTCATGTTCGAATCCGAGCGGGTCATCCGCAACGTGCAACTGTCATCATTTTTGGGCTCTTGAGACCTGAGTATGGAGGAAGTCTCGAGCGGGAGACTCGTCTGTGAGTGAATTGTGAGGAAGTCTCAGGCGGGAGCCCCCTCCCTATGGGGCCCGCGCTTCACGTTTGAATCCGAGCGGGTCATCCGCAACGTGTAACAGTCGTCATTTTTGGGCTCTTGAGGCTTGAATATGAAGGAAGTATCAGGCGGGAGCCTCGTCTGTGAGTGAATTGTGAGGAAGTCTCAGGCGGGAGCCCCCTCCCTATGGAGCTCGCACTTCATGTTCGAATCCGAGCGGGTCATCCGCAACGTGCAACTGTCGTCATTTTTGTGCTCTTGAGACCTGAATGTGGAGGAAGTATCAGGCGGGAGCCTCGTCTGTGAGTGAATTGCGAGGAAGTCTCAGGCGGGAGCCCCCTCCCTATGGGGCCTGCAGATCATGTTATTAATCCGAGCGGGTCATCCGCAACGTGTAACTGCCGTCATTTTTGAGCTCTTGAGGCCTGAATATGAAGGAAGTATCAGGCGGGAGCCTCGTCTGTGAGTGAATTGTGAGGAAGTCTCAGGCGGGAGCCCCCTCCCTATGGGGCCCGCAGATCACGTTATTAATCCGAGCGGGTCATCCGCAACGTGCAACTGTCGTCACTTTTGGGCTCTTGAGACCTGCATATGGAGGAGGTCTCGAGCGGGAGCCTCGTCTGTGAGTGAATTGTGAGGAAGTCTCAGGCGGGAGCCCCCTCCCTACGGGGCCTGCACTTCATGTTCGAATCCGAGCGGGTCATCCGCAACGTGCAACTGTCGTCACTTTTGGGCTCTTGAGACCTGAACATGGAGGAAGTCTCGAGCGGGAGCCTACGGCCCAGCCCGAAGGTTTGTCCCGACGGCTTCGCGATCTAGCCGTCGGCAGACGCGCGCGCGCTGGCCGAGGCGGCGACGGCGCTGAGGAAAATGATTTGCTTGCCCCGACGAGGGGGAACGGGAGGTGCACATGGAGAAAAGGCAGGGGGATGAGGAGGGAAGGGGCATGGGGGAGGCCGACGACGAGGAGGAGGTGGCGCGAGAGGAGGAGGAGGAGGAGGAGGAGGAGGAGGAGGAGGAGAAAGAGGAGAAAGAGGAGAAAGAGGAAAAAGAGGAGGAGGAAGAGAAATAGAAGGGGGAAGAGAGGGCAGTGCAGGGGGCGAGAGGAGAGGGTGTCCGCCAGGAGGAGGAGGAAAGGGCAAAGGGTAAGCTAAACAGATTCTCGTGTGGGGTCCTACCGTCGGAGTAATTACCCTTCAGAACTGAGAGTTCAACAGCAGCAGCAACAACAAACACACACACACACACACACTACCTAACACAACTTTCCCATGTTAGGCCCGATGCTTTGGACGGGCCCTGCTTGTGCACCGCACAGTCGCGAGAGTCCCCAGATCGCCCGCGAGAGCGCGAAGATGATCGCGCTCCGCGCCTGGCGGCCTGGGCGGAAGAGCGGCTCTTCTCCGGGGGTCCGCGGGAGGGCGCGCGAAAGCGAACGAGCAGGCGTCGCGCACCGCGCGGCGCGGCGCGCGAAGCCGGGTGACCCAGGGCTGTTCGGACAAACCAGGGGTGGGACGCTTCCAGCCGCGTCACCGCGCGGCTGCGGCGGGCATGCTGGCGCCTCGCCCCCCCCCTCGCCACCACCCCTTCCCCCTCGCCTCCGCCTCCCTCTCCGCGCCCGTCCCCGTCCCCGTGCTCGGTCCGACTTTGCCCAGCCCCTCGTACCTGGCCCATGCCCTGGCTCTGCTGGTGCTCTCCGGCCTGCTCCGAGATCCTCGGCGGCCCTGCGAAACAGGAGCGTCGGCCGGCGCGGTGGGATGTTTTGACTTGCGCCTCGCCCTGATCGTAGCCTCCCCTCGCCTGCCCGGCGAAGGCACGCATGTTCGCTCAAGGGGCATCTTTCCCTGATGGCAGGATCGAGGTCACGCGAGGCAGACCGAAACCATGTTCAGCGGGCCGAACGCATGGCCTTCAGTCAGGAGGAAAAGAAACACACAGACACAATTAATCCTCGATTCCCCAGAAAATATGGGAAAATATGGGAAGTGGGGGGGAAGACAGAAACCCAGAAAATATGGAAAAATATGGGGAATAATTTTATTTGTATTGATTTATTTGTGTGTCCTGGGGCCCCTTTATTCAGGCATTTGCTGCCTTCTGAGCTCCTCCCCGCCCCTCCTCGCGGGCGCGGCCGAGGAGCGCGCGGCGGCGGCCGCGCCTCCAGCGGCCGCGGGAGAGGAGGCCGAGCCCGAGGCCGCGCCTGCCGGCCTGGCGGCCGAGGGGGCGAAGCCCGAGGCCGCGGCGGCCGCCGGGGCGGCCGCGGGGGCGGAGCCGGAGGCCCCGCGCCCCCCCGCGCCTCTCCTCCCGAGGCGTGGCGTGGTGTGGGTGGGCGGCGGTCAGTGTGTGAAGTCCGCTCACACTACCGCTCCTGCCCTATCTTGCTCCTCGATCCTCCTCCTCGATCCTCCTCCTCGATCCTCCTCCTCCTCCTCCTCCTCCTCCTCCTCCTCCTCCTCCTCCTCCTCCTCCACCTCCTCCTCCTCCTCCTCCTCCTCCTCCTCCTCATCTATCCATCTCTCCTGCTACCGTCTCGGCTCAGGTATTGGACAGTTTTCTATCTAACAGGACCAGCGCCGTTTGCCCGCGGCGCATGGGAGAACGGATCGCTGCCCCCTTCCAAGCCTTCCTCTACCTACGGGCAACCTTGTAGGTTCGACTCTCTGGCCGTTAACCTGCATACACAGAGAAGGGGGGAGGGGACAAGGTGTGGAGGCAGCGCGAGCTAAAGCCACTGCTTGCGCTCCACTTCGCTTCGTGTCGGGTTTCCTCCGCCGTTGTGTGACCGCTGCGCTTCCGCTGGGATTTACAGCTCCTCTTTCACACCACCCATGCTGCAGTCGACTTCGTGCGACGTTTTACGCACTGTGCTTTCGACCATGTTCGATCGCAATTCGCACTTCCAGCAGCTGTTCGCGCCTGAGGACCCTCTGCGCCGCCGGCTCAAAAGATGTGTGTGTGTGTGTAATTACGTGTGTGCGTGTATGTGTGTATGTTTGCATGTATGTACATGTGTATGCGTGTGTGTGTATGTGTGTGTGTGTTTGTGTGTGTGGAGGCCGCGCCCCCGCGCGCCTCTCCTCCTGAGGCGCGCGCGGTGTGGGTGGGCGGCGGACCCAGACCCCCTCGAGCCGTGAAAAACTCACGACGCGAGGTCTTTGGCCGCTTCGGGCATTTTGTGGCCCCTCATCGGGCCCCGGGATCGTCGACAATGTTTCGGCGATCCCGAGGCCCGGCGAGGGGCTCCAAAGGCTCGATACATCGGGCTCAACAGCCCCGATGTGTTTCAAAACGTCGGGGCTCCACAAACGGAGGTGAATGCAAAAAGGGGTCGGTCAGAGTGCGGGATATTGCAGGATCCTGCAAAGCCAGGGTCGCACTGACCCCAGCTTGGGTGCAGGACGCTGCAGGACCCTGCAGGATCTCGCAGGGCCCTGCAAAGCTGGACGGACCTGGGTCTGGATTGGCCAGTAAGTCCCCGAGAACAAAACTCAGGATGAGAATCCAGTCCCGGGGAACGGGTCGAGTCGGGGTTGACGTCATGAAAAATCATGGCGTCGGGGGTTTGGGAAAAGGGTGGTGGGGACCGTTTGTGAATGTGTGTGTGTGTGTCTGTGTCTGTGTCTGTGTCTGTGTCTGTGTCTGTGTCTGTGTCTGTGTCTGTGTCTGTGTCTGTGTGTGTGTGTGCGTGTGCGTGTGCGTGGGCGTGTTCGTGTGCGTGGGCGTGTTCGTGTGCGTGTGCGTGTGCGTGTTCGCGTGCGTGTGCGTGTGCGTGTTCGCGTGCGTGTGCGCGTGCGCCTGCGCGTGCGCGTGAATCAGTGTGTCAGTGTCTGTGTGTCTGTGTGTCTGTGTGTCTGTGTGTCTGTGTGTGTCTGTTGTTTTGTGTGTCTTTGTGTGTGTCTGTGTGCCTGTGTGTCTTTGTGCCTGTGTGTCTTGATGTCTCTGTGTCTGTGTGTCTGTGTGTCTGTGCGTCTGTGTGTCTGTGTCCGTGTGTCTGTGTGTCTTTGTGTCTGTGTGTCTGTGTGGGTGTGCGTGTCTGTGTGTTTGTGTGTCTATGCGTGTCTCTGTACATATGTGTTTATGTGTCTCTGTCTGTCTGTTGCTCTCTCTCTCTCTCTCTGTGTATATGTGTGTCAGTGTGTGTCTGTTCGTCTGTGTCTTTGTGTGTGTGTGTGTCCGTGTGCCTGTGTGTCTGTATGTCTGTGTGTTTGTGGTTCTGTGTGCCTGTGCGTCTCTAGGTCCCTGGGTCTCTGGGTCTCTGTGTCTGTGTGTGTCTGTATGTCTGTGTGAGTCGTGTATGTGTGTCTGTGTGTCTGTGTTGGTGTGCGTCGGCGTGTATGTGTGTCAGTGCGTGTGTGTCTGGGTGTGTCCGTGTGTGTGTGTGTGTGTGTCTGTGTGTGTCTGTGCGTGGGTTCTCTGTGTGTGTGTGTGTTTGTGTCTGTCTGTGTGTGTCGTTGTGTCTGTGTGTCTGTGTGTCTATAGCTGTCTGTGCGTGTCTGTGTGTGTGTGTCTGTGTGTGTGTCTGTAGTCAGTGTGTGCCTGTGTGTGTGTGTCTGTGTGTCTCTGTGCTTGTGTGTGTGTGGCTGTGTGTGTGTGTCCGTGTGTGTCTGTGTGTGCGTCTGCGTGCGATTATGTGTGTCTGTGTGTGTGTGTGTGTCTGTGGTCTGTGTGCGTCTGTGTGTGTCTGTGTGTCTGTGTTTGTGTTTGTGCGTGTGCGTGTGCGTGTCTGTGTGTTTGGTGTCTTTGTGTCTCTGTGCTTGTGTGCCTGTGTATGCCTGTGTGTGTCTGTGTGTGCCCGTGCGTGTCTGTGCGCGTCTATGTGTATCTCTCTGTGTGTCTTTGTGTCTCAGTGTCTCTGTGCTTGAGTGTGACTGTGCGTGTCTGTTGTGTGTCTGTTTGCGTCTGTGTGTGTCTGTGTTCGTCTGTGTGTGTGTTTCTGTGTGTGTGTCTGTGTCTATGTATATCCGTGTCTCCGTGTCTGTGTGTCTCTGTTTCTCTGTGTTTCTGTGCCGTTGTGTCCCTGTCCTTGTGTTTCGCCGTTTCTTTGTGTCCCTCCGAGTCTCTACGTGTCTTTCCATGTCTCCCTGTGTGTCACTCCGTGTCTTTGCGTGTCTCTCCGTGTCTCTCCGTGTCTCTGTGTGTGTCTGTATGTCTCTGGGTGTGCTTCGGTGTGTATGTGTGTGTGTGTCTCTTATGTGCGTCTCTGTGTGTCTCTGTGCGTATCCGTGTGTCTCTTCTGTGTGTCTTTGTGTGTCTCTCCGTGTCTCCCCATGTCTCTGTGTGTTTCTTGTGGGTGTCTCTGTGCGTCTCTGTGCGTCTCTGTGCGTCTCTGTGCGTCTATGTGCTTCTGTGTGTCTCTGTGTGTCTGTGTGTGTCTCTGTGTGTCTCTGTGTGTCTCTGTGTGTCTCAGTGGGTCTCTGTGTGTCTATGTGTCTCTGTGCGTCTCTGTGCGTCTCTGTGTGTTTATGTTTGCCTCTCTGTGTCTCTATGTGGCTTCTCTACGTGTCCATCCGTGTTTCTCCGTTTCTCAGTGTGTCTTTGTGTGTCTCTTGGTGTCTCAGTGTGTCTCTATATATATCTCTGTGTGTCTCTGTGTGTCGCTGCGCGTCTCTGTGCGTCTCTGTGCGTCTCTGTGCCTCTCTGTGTCTCTCTGTGTCTTCTCTACGTGTCTCTGTGTGTCTCTGGATGTCTGTGTGTGTGTCTCTGTGTGTTTCTGTGTATCCCTGTGTGTCTTTGCGTTTCTCTACGTGTCTCTGCGTATCTCTGTGCCTCCCTGTGTGTCTCTGAGTGTCTGAGTGTCTCTGTGTCTCTCTGAGTGTCTCTGCGTCTCTCAGTGTCTCTGTGTTTCTGTGTGTCTCTCTGTGTCTCTCTGTGTCTCTGTGTCTCTGTGCGTCCCTCTGTCTCTCTGTGTCTATGTGTCTCTGTGCGTATGTGTGTGTCTGTGTCTCTCTGTGTCTCTGTGTTTTTTGTGTCTCTGTGTTTTTATGTCTCTCTGTGTGTGTTTGTGTCTGTGCCTGTGCCTGTGCCTGTGCCTGTGTCTGTGTCTTTGTCTGTGTGTGGGTGTGCCTGTGTCTCTGTCTTTGCCTCTGCCTCTGTCTGTGTCCCTGTCCATGTCCGTGTCCGTGGCCTCCATGTCCGTGTCTTTGTCCGTGTCCTCCGTGTCCGTGTTTGTGCCTGCGTGTGAGTGTGTCATGGTATGTCAATGGCAAGGGCCTCCCGGGGCCCACAATTGCCGTGATTCTGTCGACGATGCGAGGGAGCGTCGGAACCATTTTTCCATTCACCAGGTCAGGGTCAGGTCAATTTTGACCCGATCGGTCCGATTCGATGTCGATTCCTACCTGCCCGATCCGATTCGGTTCCGATATTCTAACGATCCGATGCGGCCCGAAGTTTGCATGGCGCCAGCGATCCCGTCCGATTCCGAGTCCGTGGCGATGCGGCCCGATCACACGTTCCGACTCGATCCAGTTTCCCGATTCGGTGTTTCTTGATCCCGCCAGGTTTCGGGTACGTCGAAGAGGGAGGTGTGGACTAGCCAACATGAGGGTGGAGATCATGACCAGAGTCATGCAATCTCCTCGATTTCATTAACCCCTCTTCTTTCGATACGTCCACTGCACCCCCCTTGTCAGGGCCTGTGCCTCTGGCCAGCTGACCCAGCTGACCCCCCTCTTCCTGCCCCCCTCCCCAGACGTCTGGCGCTCCAAAGTTTTCGATGCGTGGACTCCCAGAGGCTTGGAGTCAGCTTTTCGTCCCGAGCAGTCTTGGTGGCGGTCACGGGGCTGGGCCGAACCTGGCCCAGAACCAGCCGCTCCAATGTTCTCGGAGCCTCGGACCTCTGCGTGTCCGGCGCACCCGAAGGACATGCCGGTGGTGTCGGCGCAGAGCTGACCCGCGGGCGCTTGCCCGCGCGCGCACGCGCGCGTCCCCAGAAGGCGCCCGGCGCGCCGCGAGGCCGCTGGATCGCGAGGCCAGCGGCCGCGGCACGTGCCGCCGTGCGCCCGGCGCCTACCAGGGGTCGTGCCGCCACCCCGGGAGGAGGAGGAGGAGGAGGAGGAGGAGGGGGAGGAGGAGGAGGAGGAGGAGGAGGAAGAGGAGGAGGAGGAGGAAGAGGAGGAGGAGGAGGAGGAGGGAGAGCTGGAGACGGAGGGGCAGATGGGCCCAGGAGGAGGAGGAGGATGAGGAGGAGGAGGAGGAGCGGACGAGGGAGGCGCGTCAACGGGAGGATAATCATGGAGAGAGGGAGTGCGGAAAGGGGAAAGGAGGGAGAGGAGGAGGAGGAGGAGGAGGGAGGAGGAGGAGGAGGAGGAGGAGGAGGAGGAGGGAGAGCTGGAGACGGAGGGGCAGATGGGCCCAGGAGGAGGAGGAGGAGGAGGAGCGGACGAGGGAGGCGCGTCAACGGGAGGATAATCATGGAGAGAGGGAGTGCGGAAGGGGAAATGAGAGGGGAGGGGAGGAGGAGGAGGAGGAGGAATTATAATAATAATGATGTTACTAATACTGATAACAATAAGAATAATATAATAAGTATAGTAATAACAGCACGAATGATGACAATGATAATAATGAAGATGATGCTGATAATAATGTTAATAATATTAATAATAATAATAATAATAATAATGATAATCAGAATTCGAAGAAGCAATAATAACATGTCTACGAAAAAATACTACGAACACGAATAATATCAATAATGAGAAGCATACTATATATAATACAAGACAAACAAGAATACGAATGATAACAATAACACTCATATGCGTTATATTATTAATATTAATAGAAAACTAAGGATAGTAATAAGATTAATAATAAGAGGAGGGGGAGGAGGAAGAGGAAGAGGAGGGGGAGTAAGGGGAGGAAGGGGAGGGGTGGGTTGGTGGGAGGAGGTGGTGCTGGCGGAGCCGTTGAGCGTGAGGGGGGGGGGGGGGGGGGCGCATCGTCAAAACATTGATGCACGCTTCGAGGCCTCAGGAAAGATGTGGGGGCAGGTGTCGGGGAGCCCCATGACCTGTCGTCCCACACCGCTGCAGGGTGGGAGGACGGAGAAGAGGAGGAGGAGGAGGAGGAGGAGGAGGAGGAGGAGGGGGATTAGGAAGAGGAGGGGGAGGAGGGGGAAGAGGAGGAGAAGCGGAGGAGGAGGCGGAGGAGGAGGAGACGTTCCCCAATGACCTGCACAACGACAGGACATATTGCAACGACCGCGATGACGAGGAGGGCAGCCACGACGCGAAGGTCGAGGTCCGACTAGACGAAGCAAGCCTACGACAAACGCAACACGAACAACGACCAGCACGACATAGCCAACGACTACGTCAGACACAGCTACAACAACCACCACACATACCCTTGCACAACCGATTCAGTGGTCCAGCAGACGCGACGACCGACACTGACCATGATAACGACGACATTCACAACCAACCAAAACGCGTGCACGCCGACGCTGTCTTGGTGAGGCAAGGATCAAACTTCGAGGCGGGTTTGAAGGGCGGGGAGGCAGGACGAGTACTGCCCGCGCCTGCCAGGGGGGATGGTGAGGGGCAGAGGGGGGGGGTAGGACGGCCACTGCCCGCGCCCCCGCGGTCCGCCCTGCCACCCCCACCGTTCCCACGGCGGAGGTGGAGTTCACCCGAACGCCCCAGAGGCGGAGCGCAGGACAGACGTGGCACCCCCCACCGAGAGCAGAAGCAAACACAAGGCCTGGGGCTCGCCCCCACCGGCGGCACCGTGACCCCTAGCCATAGCGGGACGAGGTGGGACAGCCACGATACCCACGTGAAATCGGCGCATGGAGGCCTCACACGTGCGCCCACAACCAATAATCCACGACCAGCAACAACCCGACCACACACCGACCAAACGGTAAGCACGCCGACCAAGCAAGCACAAGGCTCGGGGTTCGCCCCCACCGAGGGCATTGTGACCCCTGGCCATAGCGGGACGAGGTGGGACAGCCGCGAACCCCACTTGAAGTCGGTGCGTGGAGGCCTTCCAAGTGCGCCCACCACCAACGCACCACGACCAGCAACAACCCGACCACGCACCAACCATGCAATAAACAAGCCGACCCAGCGATCAACGCCCCCAATCTCGCAACGACGAAGGAGGAGCTCATGTGACCCATCAGCCGAGAAGCATCACACGCAACAGGCAAGCCCACAAGATAACATACTTTACACATCACAAACCGCTACGGATAAGCCGGCAGTCCTGACAGCATCTCAGGACGCCGGTGCAGTAGCAAGACAAAGAGAGGACCACCACAACAAGCCCGCACAAAACATACGACCCGCAATGTTACCATTCCGACAGCCGCGACGGCTCCGAGAAGACAGTACACACAAAAGCGCAGCTATCGCGACCACGCGCACAACCAGAGCTACGCAACCATTTAGAGTTAAACCACACAAGGGCAAACCCAAACAACCTACGACTCACCGAGCAGCAGCAAATACAATCAACATAGAATGGGCCCAACAACAAACAATGCGCCAATGCAGCACCAGCCACCGACAGTCCGACATCAAGTGCGACCTCGGCAACACCAGAAGCTCGAAGACAAGGATACAAGCAACGCCAGCACCGACCTTATATCAGAACGTCTACGGCGACGACCTGCACCCCGCAGCGAGGTGCGCCCTCGACTCGACCCCCATCGGCAACAACGGCCACAGGACGAATAATGTCTACACGGGCGCGTCCTAAAGTATCAGGAAGAAAGACAGCTGCTCTTGGGCTTTCGTGCTGTTGCAGGACGCGAAAGTGTTCGAAGAGCGAACTTTTCAGAGGCGCATACTACGGCATCGCTCACAACAGCCGCACTATGGATCTCAGTTGCAGCGCATATACCAACGCAACAGGCGAGATCATGGCCGCAATGCAGACAGTCTTGTGGGTTATTGCGGCCAACGACTCGCAGAACGTCAACATCTTCACAGACTGCAAGACCGTCATCGACATATGCCTCGGCACGGCAACATCGACCGCAGACCGCGACCTCGCCATGCACCTCAAGCTCGCGTACGCGCGCGCCAGCGCCATCGCCAACATCGACCTACACCGCGTGCCAAGCCGCGAGGGGATGCCTTGGAACGAACTCGCTGATGGTTTATCACAGCGTGAGCAGAATAAACGCGAGAAGAACGAGCCCACCAACAATGTGCCGCGGAGATTCCAGTTCGCTATCACTGCCAGCAAATGCTACCATTGGGAAAAAAGGACTGGACCATAACAGCCGAGATCGACACGCATACCCAGATAATCAGGATAACGACCTCACCTTCGAGAACACGGAGCGCGACGCCAGGCCTGAGTGCATGATTGCGCCGACGGAGACTGCTAACATCTCAGCGGAGATCAATATCAACAGCATGACCTACAATGTCGAGAGCACCAGAGAGGCGGAGCCGCCAGTTAAGAAACATATGACTAGAGCAGGAATATGGACAAACGAATGGCGGGGGCCGATCATGCGACGGCAGCTACACCAGCGCTAATACACCTTATTGGAACCCAAGCAGGACGGAACGAGCGACGAGCAGCTGCCAGCAACGGGCCCCGCATGACCAGCAGCCTTCGCCACAACTACAACTGCGGATGCGAACTGTGGGCCAGTCTCACGCTACCATGCGCTGCAACGCCGAGAGGGCCATTATTCTTGCAACCGTCGGATTTCCACGTCATCTCAGCCCGGCCGCGACTACTCACTGCGCGGATCCAAGCGAAGGCCTTCGACCACATCATATGTGTTGCGCATGATCCGCATGAAAAGAAGAATGCCAAAGAACGAAAACGATTTCTGGGACTACTTAATCAAGCAATTATCAAAGCACAGCCCAGCTATCAGATCTATTGATGCGAGCGGGCGAGTGGGCTCTACGACGTCACAATGGGTTGGGACCGCAGGACTTCAACAGCAACAAGACAAACGCGGACTACGGCTACACGATCTGGCAGCGCCTGCACACATGCCCACTGTCAATGCACACAGGTCGGATGGCAAAGATCACCATGCAAGCTAAGATAGCCGCGGACACGGACATCGCATCGACTACATCATATTAAACGAACAACTACATCAATCCGCGACAACATGCAAGACGTTACCAGACCTGGAGACAGTGAAAAATCAAGCCAAAGCGGACCAACCACGAGAAGATCATGCGCCAGTGTTTGCGCAAGCGGCTTGCCAAATATCTACCAGGGCCAACGGAAAGTTGTTTCCTCAGGTTGAGAAAACAAAGCTGACGGACGAATAGGCGATCAACAAATTCAAGCAGATGCTCGACGCGACGGTGGCCCCCGAGTAGTATGCAAGCCATGTCCGGCACGCCTGCTTCTACACGCTCGGCATCATGGGGGCAGCCACCGCAGCGTCCCCCAATGGCCAGCACAAGAAGATGCAGGAGCACATCTCCGAACAGACCTTCGAGTTCAGAATCGACCAAGGACGAATTGCTAAGCTACTGCCGAAAACAGCGCGAGTTGGACGAAAGCGCTACCTGGTTACGAGGAGAATCGCCAAATAAATAGCTTACACAATCGAACGCCCGACAAGAAGCTCACCTACAAAGTGCCTCGACCAACGCTACAATGGACTAGTGCGACTTGCTATCGAGGCACAGCGGGCTAACGCCAGCAACGACTACAATGGATTCTTCATCGCTGCACGAGATTTGGTACAATGATACGCGGAAAACATCGTCACGAATGGTCAACGACGATTACAACGAGTTCTTTAATCCACATGCTACACCTGCAGCAGAAGCAAGGCACAATAACGAGCCACGCAGCGAATGGACAAGAGCGCGGAAGTTTCTAGTATTTGGCTGGCCTAAGCACCGCAAGACACGGACATGCCCTATGATGTTGGGTAGCAACGACGAGGTGATTGCAGACGCGGCGGCTAAGCGCAGCGAGGTCGTCCACCATTTCGGCGACGCAGAAGCTGCAGCATTCATGACACAGACCGAAATAGCATAGCGATGCAACAACACGGGCGATATCTGCGGCAAAAATGCGATCAGAAGCGTGGACAACTTCGCCAGCATCTACGAGCTTGAAGAACAACTGGGTCGGAGCAACCTCGGACGCGCTGCAGGGCCTGGCGAAGTCACGGGCGAGCTTGTCCACGCAGCGCCACGAGAGATGACGCGGCGCATGCGCCCGCTAATTTCTAAGACTGCATTGTTTATTCGGGAAGCAGTGGCGCACGAAGGATCGCGACTGACGCACTTCTGGGGAGGACAATAGATCGAAGACACGCTGCAAAACCACCCTTTGATATCGCTTGCCAACGCCATCATCAAGCACCACTACAGGTATATACGCCCGCGCATGAAGGACCTGATGCTTGGGCTATTCTTCAGCACGCAGATGGGAGGGCGAAGCCGCTACAGCACGGACTACAACCACATCATGATGCGATTGGCTTTCAACCTGACAGCCGCGGAAGGAAGCGACCACATCATGATCGTGATTGGTTTGAAACCCACATTTCACAAGCTAGCTACGAATCTGGTATGCGATATGCAGATGAGCCCACACGACATCGACAACGCGATCGAACACATGGACGAATTTAAAATGCATGCAGCCAGCCATCCAAACCCTCATGCACAACAGCGGCATCGTCAGAACCCGCATAGACCAAGCATTGACTACCGATGTTGACCGGATCCCACCGCAACACAGATTTCTTTACAGAGCGTGGCTCAGGATACGCGGCACCAAGGCTAGGAACACGACCAGGAGTACCGATCGCCGACTTCACATTCAACGCGCTTGTGTCTGCAGTTGCGACAGACCATCACGAAAAAGCCATCACAGCGAACGCCGCGGTCAGGATACCTGACAGCCCACCATCATTCTGTACTAACACTGAAGAGCAGCATATGACGACAACATCATCCGTCGATGATGTGATAGCGATGGCAACGGTTACCGACGGCAGCGCAGTCGAGACAACAGTCAAAGCCATGTGGACGATACTCATATGAACTACATTATCGCGAGGGTTACCCATCCACATTACCAAGTCCAACTTCCTCATCTTCGTCAGCAATAAGGAGGCAAACAATACCAGGACAAATGCATACCGACCAGAAGAAGTGCACGGACATGGGGATGACAGTAACTATCACGCGAACGTTTAAAGTGCTGGGCGATATTGTGAACGATCGGAACGACTTTGCCCAGGACGATGCAGCACGTGGACGTGCTCTGGCTACCACACCACTCCGAAAGACGGCACTCAAGCGCGACAAGATCACCAACGCTGCCAAGATACATTACCTCAATGCTCTGGGCTACTCACGATACACCATACAATGCAGGAACATGGATGCAACAAAAAGACGGACACAGACAAGATCGACACTGCGTAGACAGCAGCAGCGAGGATGGCAATGGGCATTGACCATCGGACAATACAGCGGGAGAAGATTACCAACATCGAGATCACCAGCTGGGCGGGCATCGCGACGCTCCCACAAAGACTACGGCAAGCAAGGCTGCGAGAGATCATGCGGCTGACTACGGCATGCTTGACCGAACTAAGAGCCCTACTCGGCTACGGCATCGAGAACAACGGCAGATAGTCCACTGCGATTGCAGACGACCTCCACCACATCACAGCGTGCGCTAGCAAGCAACGCAACACGCCCAACCACCACGACAAACGCCAATGGATACGCACGGCAAAAGAAGAACCATCCAAATTCAAAAAGTATAATCACACACGCCTGCAAGACAGCCATCGAGCACAACAATGAACAAGCAGCCGCAGTTGCATGGAGGAGACGCACCAATGACATTTGCGACGGCACCACCATTCCGACGCTGGACAACGAAGATCCTCGACATGATCGCAGGTGCCTTTGCTGCGAATGCGGGTCAATCCTGAACGGCAAGTCAGCGCGCCAGAAGCACATGGGTGCGAAACGCAAACAGGACGAAAATATATACACAAGTACGTTCACGGGACTATATGCCAAGTCCGTGCGAAAGAGTACTTGACGGTAGACAGATTGCACAAGCGCACGTGCGCCAGCAGACAATGTGCATCACCAGCCGCGAAGTTCAGCGAAGGACTTGACGACGACGAAGCAAACGAAATATCAGAGGAAATAGGGCACATACGACGGATCAATAAAAACAAAGGGCTACCCGAAGATTACGCTGAACGCCCATGCGCACATCTCCACGGGCCATCACTCGCACTGCGTACAAACGTCAAGCACGAACACACCTTGACGATTCCAGCAACAGTCCCTCTGCTACCGCAACAAGATGCAGGGCGAGATGGGCTGCGAGGACAGATGGAAGACGATCTTCGAGGCGATCGACCCCAACGACAGACGCGAGCTGATACAGGCGACCGAACTACAGCAGGGACAAGCGCCGACGGGATAGAGCAGATTGCGACCCTGATCGTCACCGACCAGAATGCCAACAGCGACGACGCTATGCGCATCGTCAACGGCATCGATCCGGCATCGATCACCAAGCAGACATGCAACACCGACGAGTGCGTATACTCACCGTGGCCAACCACACAAGCCAGAAGCACAACGAGAGAAAGGTTGACTACATCAACAACGCTATTCCGAGCATCGGCAACGCAACCAATTTTCGAGACGAACAACACCCGTGGGGCAGGAAAGACGCCAGCAGACACGACCACACGACCACTGCGGAAGATAATGTAAAGTACGAGACGCCATCTCCCACAGGTGCACGTGCATAGCCAATGACACGGCCTGCATGACAAACATCTGGCCCATGACGACAATTGCCCCGCGCGAAAAAACAACACCTGGGGAGAAAAAACCTCGTCACCATGACCGGCCGATCCAACATTAGCAAGCACTTCCAAAGCACCACCCGTTACGACGACGACGCCATGCGCTTCCTGGCGGCAGCGCGTGGAAAGAGACGCACCGACAGGAAAGATATTGGCGACCTCAGCAATTACTTTCACAGTACGACCGCTACCTCGCGGCGAACGAGCTGACGCACCTTCGATCGGAACCACAGCGCACAGCACAGCGCCGAAGGCGGGGGGCGACGTGATTAGAACGCAAGACCCAGCAGAAGGCACGCAGACAGTCGCTGCTTCCTGGGGCGCCCTCTGGCACACATCTCGGAGCCTGCATCCCTTCGGGGGATAGTAAGGTGACGAGAGTGCCATGGCGTCCTGGGGGGTCGCGGCTCTCCCCTCGGAGCCAGCATCCCCTCCGGAGGGCTGTTTGGGGTTGAGGTCGAGGGCCATGGCTCCACTGTGCGAACAAGGGCTGCGCGCTGAATGCTGGGCACACGTCGCCACGTTATGCTGCCCGCAACAGGGGCACGAAACCGCCGAGCGAGGTGACCTCCCCTCACGGCTCGGCGGCACCTCGCACGCGGAGCACCGCGCCATCCAGAAGGCCCCCCTCGGCGGTGAACGCGCCAACCCCTCGGCAAAAGGGCTGAGGGGCGGCGGCGGCCGCCGCGGGGGGAAGAGGAGACGGGCTCCCTCTGACAAGGGGGCCCGCCGGGCGAGCCCGAGGCCATCGGAGGCCTTCGTCCCCCTCCCCTCCTCCATCGCCCTGGAGGCATCCTCCCCTCTCCCCCTGGCCTGGCCTCGGCGCTTCGTTTTCGTCTTCGTTGGCCTCGCCCTCCCCCCTTTCCTTCTTGAGCCCTGGAGGCGTCGCGTCCTCCCTCCGCCCCCTCTGGCCTGGGCGGGGTCCGTGCGCGCGTGCTGCTTCGGTTCGCTCGGCGTCGGCGCGTTCGTTCGGTTCGCTCGGCGTCGGCGCGTTCGTTCGGTTCGCTTTCGCCTTGCGCGTTCGGTTCGCTCGGCGTCGGCGCGTTCGTGGCGTGCTCGGCGCACGTCCCGCGCGCGCTCGGCGCGGTGCCCGCGCGCGGGCACCGCGCGCGGGCGCCGCGGGGCCACGCGGAGACCCGCGAGCGGCCCGCAGCGGCAGGAGGAGGAGGCGGAGGAGGAGGAGGAGGAGGAGAAGCAGAAGGAGGGGTAAGGAGAGGAGGAGGAGCGGGGAGGGGATCGGGATAGAAGGCGGAGGAGGGCCCCCTCGTGCCCCCCGGTGCGGCTGGACGACCCTGGGCCAAGGGGGTGTATTATTCTGTCGCATGTGCTGCCTGCGCCACGCCGGTTTTTCCAGGGCCCGGCGCCGATGCCGCCCCTCGTCTTCGTCCTCGTCCATCCTCATCCACTTCCTCAATGCCGTCCTCGTTCTCGTCGTCCTCCTTCCTCATCAGTACGTATCCCTCTTCCCCCTTTCTAATCCACTGATCTCTATCTTCCTCCTCATCCTTCACCTTAGTCCTCCTTTTCCATCCTCCTCCCCCTCGTCTTCTTATTTCTCCTCCGTCTGCTCCGTCCTTATAGCCGCAGATGAAACCGAACAGGAAACTCCTTCCACATCATCTCTCCTCCATTTCCCCTCCACGTCCTCGTCATGCTAATTACAGTCCCCCATCCCTCCTCCCTTCCTCCTGCTCCTCACGCCCTCCGCCCCCCGCGTCCTCCTCCTGGTCGCCCCCCCTTCAAGAAGAGGAAAAGGAAGAAACGATCGAAGTATGAGGAGGAGCAGGAGGAGGAGGAGGAGGAGGAGGAGCTCGTTTGTGGTCGGCGGCGATTCCATGTTGTCCTCTCAAGTTTTCGGAAGCATTCCGCAGAGTTCTGGAGGGGAATTTCGAGGATGAGGGAACAGAAGGAGGGGCTTGAGGGGGTATGGGGTTTCAAGAGTTGCCCTTGGGACGATCATTTTCATATGGTTTTAGTCAGGTCTAGACAGGCCCCCCTCCATCTTCGCCACCTACTACCCCCCCCTGCCTTTTTTCGTCCTCCCCTCTCTCTCTCCGCACTCATTAAACAGTATCCCCTCTCCTGCCACTGCTGCCACTCTTCCATATGCTACCTCTCAGCCTTCTCCGCCACCACCTCCCTGTCATCCCTTTCCTCCGTCGCCTTTTTTTTGTTTTCTCTCTCTCTCTCTCTTTCTCTCTCTCTCTCTCTGTTTCTCTCTATCGCTCTCTCTCTCTCTCTTTCTCTCTTTCCACTCTTTCTCTCTCCCTCTCTCTCTCTCTCTTTCTCTCTTTCTCCCCAGTTCCATCACTCTCCTCTCTGTCCTCCCTCTCTTCTCCCTCGTCTCCACTCTCCTCTCACCCTCCTCCCTCCGACCTCCAGATTCCATTGAAACGTTCAAGGCTTACAGGCACACGCGCGCGCGCGCAAACACGTGGAAGCTTACTCACGTAGCATGTGTTTTTTCGAAGCCTCCGGAAAACTCACGAAAACATAAACAGCAGTTCAAGACGTGTCCGTAAGCATCTTCGTCCGTCCCTATTTCGAACCCAAATCCTTATTCCCGAATGCAGCAGAATTTTTCGTCTTCGCCCTAGTATAGCCTGCAAGCGAGGGGGCCGTTCCACTCATCCAGCAGCAATACAATGCTTTCCATTATAACATGGACGGTCCGTCGCCGACGTTGCAAAACACGTGGCGCGAGTGGGGCGCGGCGCACATCGCGCGCGAAAGATCGGCATGTGTCCCTCTCGCCGCGGCGCCGCGCAGGTTTGTCGCGTTGCTCCCGAGGGGGTGGCATGCCGTGGCCGCCGATGTTCCGCGCATGTGTTCCTGAAGGTGGCGCTCCCGCTCCGGCGCGAGGAACGTTGTCCATCGCCAACCTCATCGGGAGTTGAACCTTACGCGAGAAGCTGGAATGTTGTGTGTTGCCTTATGCTCAGCGTCGTCTTTCACAGTGGCGCTTCCGCTCGGACGCTGCGCGCTTCTTCTTGCTCGCAGGCGGAGGTGGGAGCACGCCAGAAGGGCGCGAAAGCGACGTCCCTGTCAACGCGCCGCGCGGGTGTTTCCTGAAGGCGGGACGCCCGCTCCAGCGCGGCGTTCACTCTGTGTTTCCAACTGCCCAGAATCATGCCGGTATAGACCCCCGCTCGAGAGAGATGGGAATGTTGTTGTTTCAGAGTCAAGTTCTCACAGAGTTTTTGCTGTTGTTGCTGCTGTTGTTGTTGTTGGTGTGTTTGGTGTTATTGTTGGTGTTGTTGTTGATGTTGTTGTTGGTGTTGTTAGTGGTGGTGGTGGTGGTGTTGTTGAATTATCATTTCTGAAGAACAATTATTGTTGATCCCCCCGTCCAGTGCACATTGTTTTTTTTCGATTGAAGTGCCCTTCCCGGGGCTCGCACCCTGTTTTTTATCAGGGAAAGTCTTGAGGGTAAAATTGTGTCGTTGGCGCCCGGTTTACAACAACAACGGCTCCCGCCTGATACTTCCTCACAATGTATGAAAGAATCGCGCTCTCGCTTTGGATTTCCATCCAATTTACCACCGGATCGCGGCTCCCGCTTGTTACTTCCTCACAATTATCAAAGAATCGCGCTCTCGCTTGGGACTTTCTCGCAACTTACCACCGAATCGCGGCTCCCGCCTGAAACTTCCTCACAATTTATTCAGATGCCGCTCCTCGACACTCAGGAATCGCGCTCCCGCTACATCTTGCTTGGTGGTTCAAGCAGAATTTACCCTTCAACGACCCGCCCGCTCGACCCGCACGTCTGGGCCTGCCCGCCAGACCAGCCCGTTAGGGACTGCAGTCGCCGCTCGTTGCCCTTCGCCCGCCTTCGATGCCCCTCGCTGCCCGTTCTGGTTCCGCGGTCGCCTTCGCTCGCTGTCCTTCGTGGCCCCGTTGCTACCCTCGGTGGCCCCGTCGCTGCCTTTTGTGGCCCCGCATTATACGCCCTTCGTGGCCCCCGCTCGCACGCGCCCGTCGTGGCCCCATACGCATGCCCTTCGTAACCCCGCTGTCGTCCTTCGTGGCCCTCTCGCTGCCCTTCGGGGCCCCGCTGCTGCCCTCAGTGGCCCCGCTGTCGCCCTTCGTGGCCCCGTATACGAATGCCCTTCGTGGCCCCCGCTCGCTGGCGCCCGTCGTGGCCCCATATGCATGCCCTTCGTGGCCCCGCTATCGCCCTTTGAGGCCCCCTCGCTGCCCTTCGTGGCCCCGGTGCTGCCCTCAGCGGCCCCGTCGCTGCCCTCTGTGGCCTCGGATTTTACGTCCTTCGTGGCCCACGCTTGCTTTTCTCACGATTTACTTGGGAATCGCGCTATCGCTCGAGACGTCCTCGCGATTCACGCATGACCCATGCTTCAGCAACCCGCCTGCTCGACCTCGTCGCCTGGGCCTGCCTTCCCGACCTGCCCGCAATGGGTCTGCCCACCCGATCTGCCCGTCTAGTTCTACCACTTGTATTCTGCTCCTTGCCCCCCTTCTGCTAATTTCTCTCGTGCTCCATGCTCCTTCCTCCCCTTACACCCGTCCTCTCTTCCCTTGTTTGAGGGACTGCAGTAAATTCACGTGGCAGGTAAGGAAGATATACCCCCAAGGGGGTACGATCGAAGACGACGAGGGCGGGTACCGAGGGTTTGGGATATACGTATTGATTGGCACGTGAGCAGATAGGAGCGAACAGTCTTAAAATGATTGTTGTTGTTGTTGCTGCTGCTGCTGCTGCTGCTGCTGTTGTTGTTGTTGTTGCTAAGCATAAAACCTCGGAGTTCCGCGCGGATTTCTCGGATCGGCACTGGGGCCTCCTGGCGGTGCCTCCGGAGCCGCCCCTGGCGCGCTCCGCGCGCCAGGGAGGGGGGTCCAGCGCAGATCCAAGAAATCCGCGCGGACCTCCGAGTTGTTCTGCTTATGTCATTTTTCGTTCCCCTAGTTTTGGCGCGGCGAACGTTGTTCTCTCGCAAGGTCGTCGGAAGCAGGGTCGCGGACCAGCGAACGAAGTGATGCTCTCGCCACAGAGCCCAGATTCTCTTGGGAAGCTGAGGTGTAGATCTGGCGCGACGACGGTGTGCCTTCCCCAGGTCTTCCAAGCCGGGTCCGTTCGCGAGCGAGCGCCCTGCGCCTGCCACTCGCACAGGGGGGTAGCGGGAGGCGGGAAGGCTTCATAGAAGCACCTTGTGGCGGTTTCTTAGAAGTTGTTCTTGGTGAATTTCTAGGGAGCAGGTGGTTTGTTTTTAAGAAGCTGCGTTTGCACCTAAGCAGCAGTTCTGTGCTTCTACGAAGCTGCTGGGGTGCTTCTAAGAAGCGGCGCGCCACTGGCTTCTTAGAAGGGCGGTCGGCGCGTTCTAAGAGGCAGCCGCCTTCTGATAAGGCTTCCCCCCTCCCCCTACCTCCTTGTGCGCGCCGACGATTGCTTTCGCCATGTGAAGGCACGCTGGCCCCAACTTCAGAGGCACGTGTTCGGGTCTTGCTAGGCGAAAACACAGACAAATACTCGTCGATCCCCGGGGCAATCTGGGAAACTACGGGAGGTGGGGAATCTTTGGGTTCGTGTGTATTTAGTTGTGTGTCCCTGGACCCCTTCACACGGGGCCCGCCGAGTCCATCGAGCTTGCTGGCTAGAACCCCATTCCTGTCCTCATTCTCAACCGTACGCGTCGGTCGTTGAACGTCTCTATTTCTGGATTCCCAGATCCCAGACTACTTTTGGCGCCTTCCTACCTCAATAAACGATCTGTGTTTGCTGTGGTTTGTGCTTCTCTGGGAGGGCCTGAACCCAACCTACTTGATCCGCCTTCCTACTTCATGTTTTGGCCTGCCTCTTCTGACCGGCGTGTACTCGTCACGAGTGTGCGCTCGCTCCCTTAAACAGCGGTCTCCTTGTACCTCATGGGGGGGTCCCCTCCCATCCATGAACATACGAAGCGTGGCAGGAGTGGGACGCGGCACGCATCTTGCGCGAAGAGGCAGTCTTTTGCTCAGGTGCCATCGCGTGACTCATTTTCGTGGAAGGTGGTTGTCGCCCCCTCCATTTCCATAGGGTCAAAACGACGGGTGACAAAATTGTTATGGTTCGATTCATTTGGTTGTATGAACGAAGCCGCGGCGCCCGTCACGCGTCTCAAACGCTTTTAGCGCTGACCCCAGCGATTGTGCGCAGTCTCTCAAGGGGCGGGCGAGGAACAAAGATTGAGGTTCCATGAGCAACGCCTGGGCGTCGTTTCCAGACAGGGTGACGGGGACGCGCGAACCGTGAAAGGCATGGAAGATGGATCCGGCCGCGAAGGATCCCAAACATGTCGAAGAGCCCGAGTAAGACTCGAAATCCGACCGTGAAGGACACCAACACTAGCAGACGACCCCCAAAAGGGCCGACGTTGAAAGAAAATCCGGCAACAAAGAAAAATGAGGCCGACGACAAAATCAGACGACCAAGAAGGACTGCCAACGGCCAAGGAGGCGGACGACAAGTCCGCCCGTTGCGCCGAGCCGCGACAACATTCGAAGTGGCGACGACAAAATGCTTTTGGAAGACGTGCAACCAACATTGCGGAAGCGCGATTTGCATCGTGTGATTGCATACGGAAGTTGACCGCGGGGCAAATCTATCATGCGGCTCGGTCAGGCGATTCGTCGTCGCCCCTTCCGCGCGCCCGGAAGGATTGCGCCCGCGCTGGGATTCCTCGCGCGCGCATGGTGCGCGGCGGGATTGGCGCGCGCTGGAGATGCGCGCGCGCCGATGCCAGCGCGCGCGCGTCATCCCCCTCGCGCGCGTGCCAGCGGTTCGAGACAAGCCCGGCGCGCGCCGCAGGATGTCGCTGGCACGCGCGCGGAGGGGATGACGCACGCGCGCAACAAAGTAGCGACCCACCACAAAGAACGCACAGTCCGTCCGCGTTGCACACGGCGCGAGTCCAGCGCCAACGCGAAAACCATGATTCGGGACGGGCGGTGGTGTCAGAGATGAGCTCGTATTTCGCTCAACGCAGGCCAGCGCGCTTCAGTTGACAATTTTGGAAAACAGTTCAATATTTGCTGCCGAACAATTCGTCAGTGTATCCTGGTTTTTATGGGTAACGAGGAGGTGAAGGATAAAGCGCGGTGAGCGACATGTTGCTATCTCCCAGTAGTTGGGCAGGAGTGTTTTTTGGACGTTGCGTTTCTCTTGTGTGCGGCGCTCGCTTCCGATCGCTAGGCGTACAGACAGCTGGACCGCCCGCCAGCGAACGCCACGATACTTTTGAGGCAGATCCCGTGCCCCCCCCAGACAATTTCCAGGACCATCTGCCCGAGGCACATCTTGCGCCAGGCTGCGGCGCGCGGGGCCGCATGTGCGAGCGCCGTCCTTTTGGGTTGGAGCTTCTCGGGCGCACGCAGCACCAGTGTGAAACCAACATGGAAATTGCATGGCAAATTCTGCTACAAACAATCCTACGAACATTTGCGGCTTGCACTATGGGTGCCTGTGCGTGACTACATTCCGCCATGTTATTCTATGCGGGTTTCAAAGCAAATCACGTGGACGTGCTATCCGAATGGGTTCACACGTCAGGGCCCCGTTGGATCCGATCCATCCGATTCGACATCGACGTTGGCCGGCCCGATCCGATTCGGCTCCCATCGCTGGGCGACCCGAGGGGGGCGGATGCTCTTGCGGCGGTGTGGTGTATCTTGGCGCCGCCGACCCGATGCGGTCTCGGGCCTCTGCCGACGCAGCCCCGTCCGACGCACATGTCGATTCGAACCGACTGCGTGGTTCGATGCGGACCGATCCTGCCACGTGTGGAGTCGAACCGAGGTATCAGATCGAGGTCGGTTCGGGGAGGGTGCCCTCGAATGTTTTTGTTGTCCTCCTCTTCAGTATGGCCGGCGGAGGGCCTCTGTTTTTGCTGGCGTGTGTTTTTGGTCGTCGTGCGATGGGCCGGCCATTTGCCTCGGTCGAGATGGCCAGCCTGCCTCCTGTTTCTTCGAGGTGGGCATCGGACTTCACACTCCGGGTGAAAATCGTTCAGGTGTTGTGAGGGAAAGTATTCAGACATCTTGTTTTTTTTGGGCGCTTCGTCATCATTGTCCTCGTTCCCCTCCTGCTGTTGTCTCCTCCTCCCCTGCTCCCTCTCGTCCTCATCTTCCCCCCTTGTCGTCCTCCTTCTCCTCCTCCTCCTTTTCCCTTTTTCCTCCTTGTCCTCCTTCCTTTTTTCCTCCCCCTCCTCCTCCTCCTCCTTCTTCTCCTCCCCCTCTTCCTCCTCCACCTCTTCCTCCTCCTCTCTCTTCGTGTTCCTCCCGTTCCTATCCCTCTCCCCCTCCTCCACTTCCGCCGCCGCCGCCGCCTCCACCTCCACCTCCTCCTCCTCCACCCTTCTCCTCCTCCTCCTGCCCGTCTCCTCGTCCTCCTCCTCTTTCTCCTCCTCCTCCTCGTTTGCCTCCTCCTCCTCCTCCTGCTCCATATCCTCCTCCGCCTTCTTACGTTGACCAAACCTGAATCCTAAGATTGTGGCGTTGTTCCTTCTCCTCCTCCTCCTCCTCCTCCTCCCCCCCCTCCTCCTTCTCCTCCTCCTCCTCCTCCTCCTCCAGTTCCATCTCTTTATAGATAACTTCTCCCTGTCGCACCCCGAAGCTATTTTTTACGGCGGGCCGGGCGTTTCGCCTGAGATGTTTCTCACCATTTATGACCCTGAAGCTTAAACTATGACAGCAGTTTCACAGATGGAGGGCGGGTCGCTTTTAAAATGTGGCTCTCGCCTTAGCGCCGCGCGCAGTTGTTTTTTCAAAATGCAGGAGCTTCACGGATTGAGGGAGGGTGGTTTTCAAAATGTGGCTCTCGCGCGCATTCGTTTTAAACATGTGCAAGGGTTTCACGGATTGAAGGAGGGTGCTTTTCAAAATGTGGTTCTCGCCTGAGCGCCGCGCACATTCGTTGTAAACATTTGCAAGAGTTTTACGGATTGAGGGCGGTCGGTTTTCAAAATGTGGTTTCGCCTTAGTGCCGAGCGCATTAGTCTTACAAATTGCAAGGGCTTCACGGATTGAGGGCGGTTTCTTTTCAACAGACGGCTCTCGCCGTAGCGCCGCGCACATTCATTGCAAGAGTTTGACGGACTCCCATGATCAACGTACCAGAAATTTAGTTTTGGAAGTCAGGAGCATGCGGGCGTAACAGTCATGTTGATTCGCTGTGTTGAAGTCCCAAAAAATGGCGTTTGGTACGATTCTGGATCGTCAAGACGCAGCAGTCAGGTTGATACGTTGCGTTGTATTCCCGAGAACAATGTTTTGGCACGCTTCAGAATCTTCAAACTGTCGTCTTCCAGCGTGGCAGTTTCCTCAATGGCAACGTACCGTTGTAGGGCCCCATGAAGAGGGAACATGGAGCGAGGGTCAATTCCAACATCGTTGATGACTCTTGGGGTTCCACTGGTCCTCCTCCTCCTCCTCCTCCCACTACTCCTCCCTTTCCCCATTGGTTCTTCTCCTCCCCGCGCGCGTTGGAGCGCTCGCGGAGGGGAGGAGGAGGGAGCAGTCGCAGGAGCCCTTTCTGGGAGGTCTCTGAGGCAGGCCTCCGTGAGGAGGTCTCCGGGAGGCCTCTGCGAGACCTCCGGGAGGGAGGTCGGCGAGAGGTCTCCCGGAGGTCTCTGGGAGGCCTCTGGGAGGAGGAGGAGGAGGAGGAGGAGGAGGAGGAGGAGGAGGAGGAGGAGGAGGAGGAGGAGGAGGAGGAGAGGGAGGAGGGAGGAGGAGGAGGTCTCCGGGAGGTCTCCGGGGAGGTCTTCCCCGAGGCCCTCCCCGTGCAGGTCTCGGGGGGGGGGCCTCCGGCAGGCCCCCGTGTGGGCCCGTGCGGGCCCAGACCTCCGACGGGACGGTTTTTGTGAATGCCGTAGAAGTCTTTCCCTTCGTTTCGGCCACGGGGGCCGTTTCTGGGCCCCGGGGCCATCACCTCTTACTCTGGGGCGAGGATCCTAGAGGTGTGACGCTTTAACAGAATTGGAGCGGGCGGCTTTGGGTTGATTTCGGCCTCCGGGGGGGCCCTCGCGGGGCCTCGGGACCGTCAGAAAACGACTCAGGGCGAAAAACCGGCACGTGGGGAAGTGGTCCAGACCTGGCCACTCATCCGGGGGCCACGCATCGGAAAATTGGAGCAGCCAGATATCTGGGATGGTCCCCAGGGATGGGTCCATACAGCAGCGTCGGATGTCTGGGGGAATGCCCCCCGAACCGCCCGCGTCGGATGTCTGGGGGAATGCCCCCCGAACCGCCCAGAGTCCTTTCCACCTCGTTCATTGGTTGTCCTGCATCGAGCCTCGAGCCTCGAAGCCATACCTCGATCCTCGGCGCTGGCTCCTCCGATCCCCGGTCCTCCCTCCTCCCCCCCCTCGGATCCTCCGGGGAGATGAGGAGAAGGAGGAGCAGGAGGAGGAGGAGGAGGAGGAGGAGGAGCAGGAGGAGGAGGAGGAGTTGGAGGAGGAGGAGGAGCATCCGGCCCTTCGATCCTGGAAGGCGCACCTCGAGCCTCGGTCCTCCTCCTGCCTTTTCTCGTCCGTGTCGGCCCGGCCCCCGGTCGGGCAGCCTCGCTCTTCCTCTGGCCCTGGTGCGCGATTTGAATGAACGGTGTCACCGCGCTGGCCCGCCGAGTTTCCTTGTGTTCTCCGCGCTGGCTGGGCCGCGGCGGAGGCCGAGACCCCTCCCTCATCCTTGCTCCTCCTCCTCCTCCTCCTCCTCCTCCTCCTCCTCCTCCGCCTTGTGCCGTCTTGCCTCCTTCTCATCCTCATCGTCACCGCCTTCTCCCCACTCAATTATCCTCCCTCATCCTCCTCGGGATCTTTCTTGCTCTCCCTCATCCGTCCACTAGATTCCTTCATGCGGTGCTCCTCCTAACCAATGGCTCATTCCGTTCCCATCCCCCTCCTCCTCTTCCTTTTGCTTCTTCCTCCCCTCGCCTCCCCTCTCCCCTTCCTCGTCCCCTCTCCTCGTCGTCTTCCCCTCTGCCCGGCGATCTGTGATCAGCCACGTCCCATAGTGGAGCACCGAACACATTGTGTTTGACTCAAGACCGTCAGCATCAGGTTGCCCTGACTATCGGGGATGGCGCTCTACTAGTACCAAACGATATAAACATCTGCGCCTCCGATGCCCCGCGATGTCTTCGCCGAGGCGAGGCCTGGTGCTGGCTGCTTTTGAACCCGCAGAACCGTTCACCAGCACCGAACCACCACCTCCGAGTTGTCCTCGAGGTATCCCCTGGGGCGCTCGCAGCGGGGGCCGGCCAGTCCCCCACGGCTGGCCAATGGTTCGTGACCGCGTGGAGCCGTTGTCCTCTTTTCCGCCCTCCGCTGGCCCGGGCTTCGCGAGTACAGCGCTCCGTGGCCCCATGGGGAGCTCCACCGAAGGCCCACGTGCGCCCGCGCACGAGGCTACAGCGCTCCGTGGCCCCAGCGGAAGCTCCACCGGGGGCCCCGGTGGTTGTGGCCACGTGCGCCCGCGCGCGAGAATGCGGGGAGCTACGGAGCGGCCGGCTCAGGCTGGCGACTGGACCTCGGCTGGCCCGGGTCAGCGCTGGCCGGGTGTGGCGTGTCCGCGAACTCCGCCCCTGTCGCAGCCCCGAAGGTAGCCCTGGTCCCCCCCCCAGGGGCGCGAAGGTGATCGCGCTTCGCGCGTAGCGGCCTGAGCCGCCTCCTCCGGGGGTCGGCGCGAGGGCGCGAGGATAGCCGCGCGTCGCGCATCGCGGGGCGCGATGAGCGGCATTGGGTGACCTGGGCACAGTCGGACCGAGATGTAAGGTCCAGGTCGATTCGGGGAGGGTGCCCGAATGCTCTTCGTGTTTGTGGGATGCTCTTGAGCATCCTGGGGAGGGCACCCCTGGGTGTTCTGCTTGTTCTGGCCAGCGGAGGGGCTCATGTTCTCGAGGGATGTTCGTCTGGCCTGGGCCCGACTGCAGTTCGCTCTCGGCGAGCGACCAGCACGCAGCCAGACCCACACGGGGGGCACGGAGGGGGGCCACGGGCACGCGTGCTGTCGGATGGGGGCTCTAGCTCGAACGGGAGCCTCCCCCAGGATCTGGCAGCACGCACCGCTAACCCATACGGTCGGACCGAGCTATAACATCGAGGTCAGTTCGAGAGGGTACCCTACTGTTCTTCGTGCCTGTTGGATGTTCTCGTGCACCCTCGGGAGGGCACCCGTGGATGTTCCGTGTGTTTTTTGCCGGCGGAGGGGCTCGTGTGCTTGAGCGGTGCTCTTCTGGCCCGTGTCCGGCGGTACAGTCAACCCGCATAGCAAGGATGAGCGACTTTCCAAGGCTACCCTTGCATTCCTCGGGCGAAGGGAACTATGCACATGCATCGATTCTGGCCAGGCCCATCTTGGGCGCATGATCGGTGCATATGCCTTCCCGGCCAAGGTAGGAGTGCATATGCACCGATCCTGGGCTCAGGATTGGCCTGACCAGAATCGGTGTATGTGCATAGTTCTCCTTCCTCTAATTCCTCCCCTCCGGCCCACCCTTGGCTGCTTTCGCTGGCCGCACCCCGCTGGCAAAGTGTCGGCATGGCCTTCCAAGGCTATTGCATCCTCGTCGTGCTTTCGGCCCCTCCTGCCACCGTTGATATAGGTTGTGGGCGTGAAGCCTACTGCATGTTCGTTGGGCTCTCGTAGGGGGCCTCTCGGGGGCCTCCTGGAGGCACTTTTGAGGCCTCTTGGGCTCGATGTTCCGCCTGGTGCCCGCCCACGGGCGCCTCGCGAGCGCCCCTTATAGTTTGATTGCGTACGTTGCACCACATGGTTTACACCGCATCACTTGCGCCACATAGCCTGCACCACATATACACCTTAGGCGATGCTTAAGAAAACCTAAGTTTTCGTCCTGAGTCTCGATTATTCTTAACTGTTCAATGTAAATCCCAAGATTTTGATAGAAGTTCTGGGTTTTATTCACTTTCTGAGACTATGAATTTCTTAACCCATGATTTCTTAAGCATTTCGCAGGGTGTATATTACATCACCTAGCTTGCACCATGTATACTAGGCCACGTGCCACGTAGATAGCACAACATAGCACGCACTGCATAGCTTCTTCCACGCATCTCGCACCACATGGTTTGCGCAAGACAGATTGCTCCGCACAGCTTGCACCACACGACTTGCACCACATGGTTTGCGCCACATCGTTTGCACCACATCCACGTAGATGGCCCCACACAGCTTGCATTACACAGTTTCCACCACATACCTCGCACCAAATAGGTCGCACCACGCTTTGCCACTTAGATTGCCCCCACACAGCTTGCACACCACGGGTCGCACCACATTGGTGTTGACCACATAGCCTACGCCACATGGTCGCACCACACATCTGACACATCCACAGTGCAGAGAGGCCGTGTTTGGAGTCAGCGCTGGCTGACATGGTGTCTGTGGAGCAGTGGTTTGCCGGAACCTTGCCCTGCTGGTGGCCGTGGGCGTCTCCAAGGGCGCCCAGTGCGCTGGGTGGGTTTGCCGAGGTTCCGCTCGGTGCGCGGCCGTGTTCGCCCCAGGCTCAGGCGATCGCACGCACGGATCTCAGGGGGCCGCGCACCGGCGACGGGTCCCGTTTCCATTGGGGGGTGGCGGCTCTCCGCCGCCGAACGAGGCGGCGCGGGCCGCCCTTTGGGGGAGGGCACCTCCCCCGATCCGTGGACTGGGCGACCGCGCGCCAGATCCGTGGATCGCTCATCCATGCCTGCGCGCCCCCGACGTGCGCTCGGATTGGGCTGCCGGGGCCTCGCCTGGCGGCCGTGGGCGCCTCGCGGCCGGCCCGTGCGCCGCGCGGGTGTCTGCCGAGGCCTCGCCCGGTGGGCGCCTCGTGGGCACGCCCTTGGGCGCCCAGCGGGGACTCTGCCGATGCCCCTCGCTCGGTGGACATCCCGGCGGCGTCTCGTGGGCGCCCCCTTGCGCTGGGCGGCTTGGTGCCGAAGACTTGCTCGGTGGCCGCCCTTGGGCGCCTTGTTCGGGTCGGGCGAAAGGGGGGGATTCAATCCCCCCCTTTCGCCCGGGGGGGGTTACGAAATTTGCTGCATGCAGCTGGTTTCGGCCTCACCGAGGGGCCCAGTCCTCGATACGTGGCCGCTCCCGGCGCCGGGAGGCGCCGGGAAAATCAGCTACGTGAGCTGATTCTCAAACCCCCCCTTTGCTATCCCCCCCTTTCGCCCGACCCGACTTGTGGGCGTCCCGCGGGCGGACGCACAGCCTACACCACCAGGTTTGCACCGCGTGTATTGCGCAGCACCCCGCGGATGCGGATGAGAGTGAGGAGGCGGTGGGGACGTCGGCAGTTTGCGAGACTCTGGAGAAGCCCGCCGCAGGCGCGAAAGTTTCACAAATTATACAGCGAGCCCGCCGCAGGCGCCGATTTTTTCGTACAACCGTTTCCATGATCCATACTCTGCCTCGCCCCTCGCCCTACATCTGCACGTCCATGTTCCCTTTTTTCTCCGCATCTGTCTCCTCTGTCTCGCTGTCATTACCTTCCTTCTCTTATGTGTTTCCCTTTCTTTGTGAGGCGGGTTGAGCCTCAGCTGCCAACGCGGTCCCAGTCAGCCTGGTCGTCCCTGGCCCTTCGCCACGCCAATACCGACAGAGCCCACGCCGCGCCAGGAGTGGTAAAGACCACACCTGCGGGCAGGGGCGAGGGGATGTGCGGGGGGAGGGGGGGAGGTGGAAAAAGGGAGGGACAAGCTCAGTGTGCTCGTGACACGTATGACATCGCACCCTTCCCACGCCTCCCATTGATTTGAATCTAACATCTGCCGACAGGGGCGCCGCCGCGGGCCGGGACACCCTCCCGGATTCCCCCCCCTTTGGGCACTGGAAATTTGGACCTCTCTGGGGCCTCCCAGGCCTCCCGAACCAAAGACGATCCGAGAAGGTTTCAGGATGCCCCTCGAGAGGGCCCCAGGAGGCCAAAATTGCTCCACTCCTAAAAGAAAAGAGCTTTTGTTGTTTGGCAGGTCCACCTTTTGTGTTTAACAGCGTCCAAGGCGGCCTAAGAGAACCCCACAACCGCCCCAAGACGGCCCAAGAGGGCCCCAGGACGACCCGAGAGAGCCCAAGGCGGCCCAAGGGGGTCCAAGAGAGGGAACTCGAGCTGACACTTCGAGCCTTCCGCCACAAGCGGGCCCCCGAGGCCGCCAGCAGGTCCCCAAGAGACCCCCAAGGCCTCCAAAAGAGGCCCCAAACGGCACCCAAGGCGCCTGAGAAGCATGCCAAGAGACCCTACAGATGTCCAAGAAGCCTCTGGCCCAAAACTCAGGCACGGTTTCGGTATGGGCCGCAGGCCATAGATAAGCGAAAAATTGGCCTGGCGACGGACGGACCCATCCCTACGCAGTCACGTGTCGCGGCCTTTTCTTCATATACAGCGCGCCGCGGGACTGAGCTGATGGCGGGCTGCTGCGGAGCAAGCGTGCACAGGGGCGCTGAATTCTGTGTGGGGCACGATCCGCGTGAAGGGGGTGTCGAAAAATCTGGGTGCACTCGCGTGAACCAGCCCGCTGAGGCCGCAGGTGGAGCTCCTTATGGGGCACGACCCGTGAGGCATGTGCCAAAATGGGCGGGGGGATGCCACGCGCAGTCGCCCAGTGGTACCATACTTAGGTGGAGCTCGTTCCAGGGCACGATTCGCGCGAATGGTGTGCCGACATGGGCTGAGGGACGATTTGCA